AAAGCGTTCCAAAATGGAGGCGTTTTGGAACTGAGGTTTGGCTGCGTGTTTCTTTTTCTCAATGTTTTACAGTAATTAGGAAATTCGTAGTATATTGCATCAGATGACAAGTCTCGAAACTATCTTACTGTTTTCTCCTTCTTGGGTGATGGCTGAAAATTGTAAGGGAGCAAACACATATCTGCTTAGGGTTCAGCTACTGGAAATCCCAAGGGTCAAATCTGTCTCCCTGAGATTACTTGTCCCCTCCAGGGTAACATAGCAAAGACAAAAGTGGGGCCATCGGACTTGCTAGCACCATGCTTTTTGTTGTTGTTTTTTGGAATATAGAGGAATTGGATTGGCCTACTACCCACCTACTTGCTACAGTCGGTGTGTCTATGTTGCAGTATTATTTGATTTGTCAGCTCTGCAAACTGCAGGGATAGAGGAATAGAAACATTAATATGTGCTCTTTTTGTATGCAAGTTTTACAGAGAAACAGATTTACTTCCATCTTGTTAAGCATGCTAGCATGGGCAAGTTCTTTTTTTAAAAACATGCCTTCATCAATGAAGCGGCCATTAAAAGGAAACGCAATACATAATCTGACAGCAACAACATCTGCTCTCTATTTTTGAGGGCTATTTTTGCTTTTGGCCATTCACATTTCAGACATCAAAGACTGGAGATCAGAAGTGCCCAAGAGCAAAACAACAACAACAAAACAACAAAAAAACCTCAGAAATATATATTTGTTTATTTCTGTGCTTGGAGAATCTTTTGGTGACCTTTCCTATCACCACTTGCTAGTCCCCAAGCCGGATGCTCAGCTCAGAGAGCATGTTATATAAAGGGAACGGGCATGTGCAGCCAAACTGAGCAGGATTTAACCCTCTGCTCGAGTGACAACAGCTGATGGGTGTGGTTTGGGGGAAATGGCTTCGTAGGCCAGACTGAACTCCCTGGTAAGGCAAGATTGGGCCACGGGGCAGAGGCTCTCTACTCCTGCTTTAGCAGAAAGGGCATCTTCCTGTGCAAAACACCTGATTGCTGCTAATTTGCTTAACCCACTGCAACCCCCTGTACCCCATGTAAAGCTGCTCCTGAGGGTTGGGGGCAAGGACACTGCAAGGGGCTGCAGTAGGCAGGGGGAGAAGGGTAAAAATAACATCAGGTGCCCAACCCACCTGAACAAGCGGAAGTGCTTTCTGACAGGTAGAAGCTGGTGGCCCAGTACTGCCAGTTCATGGGGGTGCAGCAAGACCATAGACTTTTACAGCTGCCCATGGGGTAATACTTCAGTTGTAAAGCATGCAACTGACGTTTCTCCTCTGCCTCAAAACCCTTGCCCCAGTCATTCCGTTCTTTTACAAACTGTATTCCTTAGGGTAGAAAAGAAAAGAAAGTTTGCCAACTCTGATAAAAAGAAATAAATGCATTTTAAGCTCACTAAAAAACACAAAACCATGGCATCACCATGACTGCAGAAATAAAATGCCCTTCTTACAGTCTTATAAAATGGGGTTTGCTTCCGCTGTCCTGAGTTCCTCAAGAATAAGTGGGTGAATGTCTGAAAAGGGAATGTCTAAACACCTCATTAGAATTTTTAATCTTTGCTGGAAGCTGCCCAGAGTGGTTGGGAAGACCCAGCCAGATGGGCGGGGTACAAATTAATAATAATAATTCCCTTCACAAAAAAATAAGAAAGCAAGGATGCAGCATTGGCCAGCATCAGCCCTGGTGGGTCCCACGATGCTCTTGACGATGCCTTTTTTTCCATCCAGAACTAAATTCTGGCACCTGTCAGCTAAGCGCCATTGCCATTACTGTATAAGAGAACAAGGGAGGTGTTCATGAGTTCCGGCACCTCTTTTTCTACAAAAATATCACTGCTCGTGGCATGCAGGATTCTGACCATGGGGCCTGCATGTCACTGTCCATCATCACCTGCCATTCTTCTGAGGGTCGTCTGGGAAGCCCCTGGGGTATAGGATCCTGAATTTTTGTCCCCAGGGTCCAGCCCTAGTTGCACCAGTGAAAAGCCACCACTGGATACAACCCTTTGTGTATGACTAGTTGTGCCATGGATGGAGTTGCACATTCAAACAGCACATTCAAAAAGCACGTTTACCTGGGAGTAAGTGTCACTGAATACAATGAGATTTCTGAATAAACATGCATGGTGCAGCTGTGTTAACCATGTTGTTGTCCTTCTGGCTTTCTTATTCCAATAGGCTTTGGGGAACTGACTGCTTTTAATGAAAGGGCTGGTGCTGTGTTGCATTTATTATTAATTACAGTGGTACCTCGGGTTACATACGCTTCAGGTTACATACGCTTCAGGTTACAGACTCCGCTAACCCAGAAATAGTGCTTCAGGTTAAGTACTTTGCTTCAGGATGAGAAGAGAAATCATGCTCCGGCGGCGCAGCAGTAGCAGGAGGCCCCATTAGCTGAAGTGGTGCTTCAGGTTAAGAACAGTTTCAGGTTAAGTACGGACCTCCGGAACGAATTAAGTACTTAACCCGAGGTACCACTGTATCTGTATGTGTTTATTGGATCTTTTATATACAGAGAGAGTTTTACGTAATTCTATTAATGTTTAATTGTTTTTTAATTCAGTTTTCACTTTATTTTTTACTTGTTCCTATCTTACCAGTATGCCGCCTTCCCTGCCAAGGAAAAAAGGCAGGATAGAAATAAATATATAATAATGAGTAATAGTAATAATAATAATAATAATGTATTTCCCAGTCAAATCAGTGGGACTTTAAAGCATTTAATTCACTTTATTGTGCGCAACGTGGGAACACAGCAGAAACAATGTATGATGCAGTCTTGCAAATTAGACTTTCAAAAGCTGTATCGTTCACAAGGTGTGTGTCTATCAATAATTATCTGCTTTAACAGCAGAAAATAAGAGTTATAACAGACTGTCAATGCAAGAGTTTTTAATTGAGCTTGACAAAGGAAAGCGTGCAAGTCAAAACGTTAAGTCACGTTTTGATTTCACTTTTTTTTTTTAATGGCAATAGTAGAGATCTCACTAATCCTTGTTATCGTACAGACCGTTCTGGGTGTGTAAACCCTCGCACAGAAAGATAGCTCAGGGTCCTTAACTTGCCCCACAGAAGCTTAAACAGCTCTGCTTTTAGTGTTAGTGAAATGCTGTTATTTAGAGGTCATCTATTTTAGAGCCGGGGAAATTCTTAAGCTACTTAAAAAAACGATCTTAGCTCTTACTGATCTTGAGACACTCCCTGATCAACCTAATCCCATGTGATTTGGGCAAGAACCCTGGAGCCGACACTCTGCCAGAAGCATGAAACTTGGATACAAAAAACCCCCAAAGCAGTACAGTTCAGCATCTACTGGGTCAGTGACTCACAAAAGGAGGAGGAAGTGGAAAATGGGTTCTCTGTTGAATGAATTTCTTTAGTGGGATCTGTATTTTCTACTCCGCAGGCAGCATCTCGGGTTCAGACTATAGGCACAGCAACCATTCCAAGCAGCCACTTCCTTCAGCTTCTGCTCCTTATCTGAAGCACTTGTGACTCTGTGGAATGTTGGCTTTGGAGAGGCAAAGTCCTGTGTTCAAATCCCACCAGGGATTGGCCTTTCTACTAACTGGTCCCCAAAACAATTGAATACCTATCTGGCCTGGAGCTAGCTGTTAAGTGTCAACTGCATTAGTAAACAGCCTATTCGGATGAGCAACATAACATCAGAAGGGTACTCCCAGATAACTGCACCTTTGCAGCTCATTCTGTTCAAGGAAGCAGATACACTCAACATTCTTAAGTGATACATCCTTTTCTGAAGTTATGCCTCTCAGGTGAGTAGTCACTGGTGTAAGCTTCTTTCATAGACTGCTCATCTTCCACAGAAGTGTAGAGTTGGAAGGGACCAACCCCTTGCAATGCAGGAATCCTGTTCTGGGTTGGCTCGAACCACCAACTTTCTGGTTAACAGCCAGATGCACTGAACCATTTTGCCATCTTTCTTAACGGCGAGTGTACCAAGTTACCTCTGTTTAAAATCTGCAGGAAACCCTCACATGCCACCAAAGCCAACAAGTGTATGATTTATGTTGTGAACTGCCCTGAGATATATGGGTATAGGGCGGTATACAAATTTAATAACTACCGTATTTTTTGCTCTATAAGACTCACTTTTTCCCTCCTAAAAAGTAAGGGGAAATGTGTGTGCGTCTTATGGAGCGAATGCAGGCTGTGCAGCTATCCCAGAAGCCAGAACAGCAAGAGGGATTGCTGCTTTCACTGCACAGAGATCCCTCTTGCTGTTCTGGCTTCTGAGATTCAGAATAATTTTTTTCTTCTTTTCCTCCTCCAAAAACTAGGTGCGTCTTGTGGTCTGGTGCGTCTTATAGAGCGAAAAATAGGGTAACTAAATACAATAAAATCCCGCCAACAGTCCCCAACAAGGAATCTGGCATGTAGGAACAGACCAACACAGGTTTCCATCCAATTCCTACCCAGAAGTAAATGCCTCAAACCCCGCCCCCCTTCATTTCAATAGGGCTTACTTCCAGGGGCGTAGATGTCGACGTGTTTGTTGTTTATAATGTCCCTAGGGTGTGTGTTGCTTTAAGAGCACAGGTCCTTGCCCCTAGGAGCTTACAGTCTAAAACAAACAGCTGGAGGAAGTGAGGCAGGGGTAAACAGGGAAGCAAAGGTGCAGTTGTTTGCATACGCTCATACTTGGTTATAAAGCTGTGTTACAGTAGGGCGTGCATGGGAATTAGGGAGCTGAGGTCACACCCTTTGCTCTGGCACGTGCGTGGACCGGCTGCGCTGACCCACGAGAGGAATGCACGCTGCTGCTTCCTTTATTCCCACTGCACCTGCTCCAAAACGGAAAACGAGTCCCGGCCCTCCGCCTTGCTGCAAAGTGAAACGCTGCCCTCACTGCCCTGGGTGAGGCTTCCCTCCCGCCTCCTCTGCCGGCAACACGAGCAGCAAGAGGAACGTGGGGAGAGGATTCCTTCTCCTCCCCAAGGTTTTTTATGGGGAGGTGCGCGCGCAACCCGAGGCGAAGACGGAGCGAAGCAGCAGGTTGAGGAGGAGCCAGTCGCGCGCTCGGCCACCCGGGGAAAGGGAGGCTTCTCAGCTGCGCTCCTAAATCGCCCTACCTCAGGAGCCGTTTGCCCCGGCGCTGTCCTTAAGGAGGCGCAATTTCCAACGCGGCTGGCGGTGGGAGCCACAAATAAGCTAAACTCAGGCGCGGGGGAAAGAAAACAGACTGGTCTGAAAAAGCGCAGACAGAAAGGGATAAGCGCCGCTCTGTTCCCTGTCCTTGAAGGGCGACGCTGTGGAACTTTGGAGACGCTTCTTTTTCCTCCCACCCCCCTCCAATGTGAGCACATTTTCTACTGCAGGCTGCCCTGCTCTGGAAACCGCCCGCTCCCTTCCCTCCCACCTCGCCAAAGGCACTTTTTTCGCAGACAACTTCGGAGCGTAAGAAGAGGGAGGAGGCGCGCTCTCCTTTGATAAGAGTGGTGGGACTTTGACTCGTCTCCAGCGAGGGGAGGAGGAAGAGGAGGAGGAGGAGGAGGAGGCAGCAGCGGCGAGGCCGCGCCGGGCCGGGCGGGGGTTCGACCATTCTGTGCTGGAGGAACCCGGCGTACTCCCTTCCCATGGACGGGGAGGAAGAGCGGCGGGCGAAGCGCGAGAACCGCGAGAGCAACGTCCACAGGTAGGTTGCGCCCTTGCAGAATAATGGAGAGCGCTCTTGGCTTGCCCTCCTGCTTTTTGTGTGTGTGCCTTTAATATTCTATATAGTAATAATCTCTCTATATATCATGCCACAAACGTAAATACATGTATCTTCCTGGGTTGGTGTTAAGTGGCCCCTCAGGTGTATCTGTGATACAACAGGAAGTTAAAAAAAACAAAGCAGCAGCAGCAGCAGGATTTGCTTGAGAAAGGCAACCCAGAAAACTTATTTACGTTTGGGGTAAATCGATGCTGGGAGTGCCCCATTCCCTACTGAAAGCGCTTCTTGCTTGTGGTTTTCAGCTAAAGTTTGTATCGCATGAATTCCCCTTTGGTTACTGAGTACACAGTGGGGCAGTTATTTCTGCCCTTCAGGTTTCAGTTGGCAGTGTTGGTATGATTGTTTAATTCAGTGGATAAGTTAATCAAGCTAGCTACATTGTGTCGCCCCCCCCCAATAATTAAACTTTCAAAACCCTGTTACCAAAGATCTTGATTTGTCACTCTCTTTCGGGTTTTCTTGTAATAAAACTAACCTTTCACTGCCAGGATTTTTAGTCGTTTACAGCTGCCACAGTAAACACTTACTCCCTTTGGAAGGTTACATGGAAAGAATGAACTTTTCTTTCTGCTTTCAAACCAATCCACTTGAAAAATAATTTATTTCAGTTCTTTACACTTATTGGCATCTTAACTTCATAAAATAGTGAGATTTAATTATTTTTTGAAATCTCTCCCCAACACCTCCCCCCCATCATCCCCATTGTTATTGCCACATAGAACTTTAGGAAAACGCTTAATTTGTAAAATAAAAATTAAAACTATAATGGACTCTGTCCCGAAAGGCTGTCTAAAATACTTTAAACAAGAAGCCCTTGTTATTATAAGAAATATCAAAACAATTTGTGTACTGTAGTACTCTATAAATACAGAAATATTATAAATATGGGAGCGCAGAGGTTGGTAATCACTGGAGAATATGGAAAGGCTGAATACTGTCTAGATGGAAGTTATGTTTATAAATTTCCTTGTAGCTGGAAAAAAGGCTCAGTGGAATTTCTGCAGAGAGATAAATGAGACATCAAGGATGGGCTGACCAGCATTTCCCTGTTTATCACCTGACAGTGGCTAATGGCTATGCAAGGATGCAACATAAGAAGAGCCGCCCTGCTGGATCAGATGAAAGATCCATAATTGTTCCACATCCTGTTCTCAACAGTGGCCAGCCAGAGGCTTATGGGGAGTCCACTAGCAGGACTTGAGTGCAACAGCACACTCTCCCCACTTGTGAATTCTAGCAACTGGGATTCAGAGCAACACTGCAGTGTTCTTTGTCCTGGTGCATATTATCAGGCACAGCCGTTTATACAATACAGTAGCAGAGGCAGATTTAGGAGAGCGCAACCAGTTAGGCGTGGAGCCTTGGGGACGCCATAGCTGCGATTTAGAATGGAGCATGAGAGGCGCTGGTTTTTTTAATTTGACACCCCAAGAGCTGCCACTGACACTAATAAAAGCTTTTCTCTTGAGCTGTACCACTTCAGATTCTATGATAATGATAATTTATTATTTGTACCCCGCCCATCTGGCTGGGTTTCCCCAGCCACTCTGGGGGGCTTCCAACAAAGATCAAAAATACATTAAAATGTCACACATTAAAAGCTTCCCTAAACAGGGCTGCCTTCAGATGTCTTCTAAATGTCAGGTAGTTGTTTATCTCTTTGACATCTGATGGGAAGGCGTTTCACAGGGCGGGTGCCACTACCGAGAAGGCCCTCTGCCTGGTTCCCTGTAGCTTTGCTTCTTGCAGGGAGGGAACCGCCAGAAGGCCCTTGGCGCTGGACCTCAGTGTTTGGGCAGAACGACGGGGTTCTAGTTGGAACTTGGCTTGTTTGAATGCCATCCTCCCAGCAGGGCTGAAAAGACCAAATGGAACGTGGAAACATGAAGTCTTAAGTTACAAGGAAACACAGTGCGATACTTTTTTTTTTAACAGTGCAGCATAGAAACGTATTGTATTAGTAGTGCAGTCCAGGAAAGGCTTGCTCACCCACACTGCTGTATGTATAAATTGCGGTTGAGCAATTGGGAGGTATTGTGGCCATCTCTTTTGGAAGAGTACTTTTTAAGGATTACGTTATTATCCAAAGTCCCATGTATGCTTTTCTGGGAGGCTTGAGAAAGTTGTGCCTTTTGCGTTTGAATGCTAAATATACAACTTGTTTGTGCTGAAGCGCTGAGCTTTCCTGAACTTTTGCAGTGATTAAATCTGCACAGTTATGCATGCTTAAGTTCAGTCGAAACCAATGGCACTTAAGCACATGTCCCTGTAGCTGAACATTTCCCTTTATAAGTACATGGTGAAACTGATACTATTTATTGGAAATATCTTAAGCGGTGATACTTTATTCTCTCGTTTGTCTGTTTTCAAGCAGCAAATAGCCAGAGGCTAAAGGGAGCGGAAAATGGATTGATTGACCTGCCTTATGTATGCATTTAGATAAGCAACCATGTAAATCAATATTGGTCCCATTATACAGAGTTTGATGAGGTTCAGAATTTAATTCAAAACACACAAGTGACCTGAAAAAGGCCTTGTCTACTCCCTGCAAGAGTGTGCTATCAGTTGCCTGAGTAAACCATGACTGTAAAACTGAGGTAAAACTCTGGTCACTGAAAAGATCTTTGATTTGTAACAAGTACTAATAAAAAGAAAAATAATCAGGATTAAAATTACAAAACATGCAGTGATATTACTCTGTATAAATGGTCGATTAATGTCCTGGTTAGATAAAAATAATTACCAGGTTATAATGTGCTTTATATACAGTGTAATCTTTACAACAGCCCTATAAGATAGGTTGAAAGTGTTACTTGGAAGGAAAAAATAAGCATGTAAAAGAATTCCCTGGATGCCAAGATCCAGGTTTGGGGCAAGTCCTCTTTGGTGAGAGAACCCCAGCAGACATAAAAATCACAAAATACGCAGCAAAGTAAAGTGTGAAATAGATCATTAAAATATGTCCTTCTAAGTTCCTTCCAAAGTCCTTCCCTTAGCATAGAAAAAGTCCACAAACTTGGTAAGTTAAACTCTCCAAAGGTTAGGTTCATGTGCTTTTCCACACAGCATTTAGAAAGCATAGGCAGTTAAACTTGGCTTAGTTACACTGCTGAAAGTTCCTAAATCACTGGTATAGGAACTCAAAAGAGGCTTACTAGAGCCATGTGGTCTGATCTTGGAGCAACCAGCTCAGACCTCGCATGTTGAGCTTCTGGGGTCTACTTAAAGGTAAAGGTAAAGGTACCCCTGCTCGTACGGGCCAGTCTTGACAGACTCTGGGGTTGTGCGCTCATCTCACTCAAGAGGCCAGGAGCCAGCACTGTCCGCAGACACTTCCGGGTCACGTGGCCAGCGTGACAAGCTGCATCTGGCGAGCCAGCGCAGCACACGGAACGCCGTTTACCTTCCCGCTGGTAAGCGGTCCCTATTTATCTACTTGCACCCAGAGGTGCTTTCGAACTGCTAGGTTGGCAGGCGCTGGGACCAAACGACGGGAGCGCACCCCGCCGCGGGGATTCAAACCGCCGACCATGCGATCGGCAAGTCCTAGGTGCTGAGGTTTTACCCACAGCGCCACCCGCGTCCCACCAGCTCAGACCTCGCATGTTGAGCTTCTGGGGTCTACTTAGGTACAACAATAGGCCCAATTATCTTCCTCCCAAGGGGAGTGGGAGTGACCTAGCTAAGCCTGGCAGGGCCACTTACTCTATGGCATTAACCCTTTCATGCATTAATTAGACTTAAGCATGTTGGTTATATGAGGCTGGTTATCCCTCAGGGTTGAATCAACTGTAACCTTTCTCCTTAGTGTTGCTATTGTAGACTCAGCAGGGAGGATGATGGGGGCAAAACTAAATTTGCTCTTCCTGTCATTTGTTCCAGCTCCACCTACTGTTGGCCTCTTTGTCTTCTTCCCTATCAGTCCTAATTAGCATCAACCACCACCAAAGCTAAAGGGACGCGGGTGGCGCTGTGGGTAAAAGCCTCAGCGCCTAGGGCTTGCCGATTGAAAGGTCGGCGGTTCGAATCCCCGCGGCGGGGTGCGCTCCCGCTGCTCGGTTCCAGCGCCTGCCAACCTAGCAGTTCGAAAGCACCCCTGGGTGCAAGTAGATAAATAGGGACCGCTTACTGGCGGGAAGGTAAACGGCGTTTCCGTGTGCTGCGCTGGCTCGCCAGATGCAGTTTGTCACGCTGGCCACGTGACCCGGAAGTGTCTCCGGACAGCGCTGGCCCCCGGCCTCTTGAGTGAGATGGGCGCACAACCCCAGAGTCTGTCAAGACTGGCCCGTACGGGCAGGGGTACCTTTACCTTTACCTTTTACCACCAAAGCTAATGGGTGTTAGCTGGGTGTCTACAAAAGCAGACTCGTCTTCTAAACTTCTGGAAGGTTTATTGAGCCCATTCTGGCATTTGCAGTCAATAAACATTTTTCATTCTGACATTTTAAAGTCCAGTTTTTCCTCGCTAAGCTGCATTTCTGAAAAAAAAGTTTTAATTTAGGTATGTGAAGTTTATATAACTACATAAAACTAATATGTGTGTACAATGATTTCCCTTCTGTTGCAGAGTGGACCCGTATGGGTTTGAAAGGCCAGCAAACTTTGACTATACATCATATGAAGATTTTTTTTCTAGATACCTAGTGATACTCACTAGGAGAGCAATTAAATGGGCCAAGCTTTTAAAGGGTAACCGCGGTGTACCGAAAAGCTTAAAAGGTAATATTCCAGTATGAAACTGTTCCTTGTTTCCTTCTCATGTATGAAATCTTGCTTGAATCTTTTCAATAGGACTTTTTCAATATGGGGAGGTGGACATTGTTTTCACATTTATTGTAGTGCCAATGTCTTACACCTACCCCACTTCAGACCTTACTTTGATTCTTTCTGGACAAACAGTGTGATCCTATACAAATCTACTCTGAAGTATATTCTAGTGCAGGCTTCCTCAAACTCGGCCCTCCAGATGTTTTTGGCCTACAACTCCCATGATCCCTAGCTAGCAGGACCAGTGGTCAGGGATGATGGGAATTGTTGTCTCAAAACATCTGGAGGGCTGAGGTTGAGGAAGCCTGTTCTAGTGAGTTCAGTAGGGCTTACTCCCAGGTAAGCAGGCATACAAATTACAGCCCAAATGAATAGAGTTTATGGGGAAACTGCAAGGAGGGTGACCCCTGTTTTTGACACTTGATCGCTGATTAATTGTTTTCATTTCTACGTAAATTCTGTCCTTGTAAGAAATAATCTGTGGCTACTACGGATGTTTGGTAGGAGCAGCTACTTGTTGCAAATGCAGCACAGTGAGTTGCCGTGAATAGAAACACTCTTTTTCTCTCCAATGACTCTGTTCCCTCACCATGTTTTAAATATGGCGTGTTTGGAAATGTAGGTTTTCAAATGCGTCATTATAAAAGCAAATGTAAATGCTGAAAAAGGGACGGGGGTGGCACTGTGGGTTAAACCACAGAGCCTAGGGCTTGCCGATCAGAAGGTCGGCGGTTCGAATCCCCGCGACGGGGTGAGCTCCCGTTCCTACCCGTTCCCTGCTGCTGCCAACCTAGCAGTTCGAAAGCACGTCAAAGTGCAAGTAGATAAATAGGTACCGTTCCGGAAGGAAGGTAAACGGCGTTTCCGTGCACTGCTCTAGTTCGCCAGAAGCAGCTTAGTCATGCTGGCCGCATGACCTGTACGCCAGCTCCCTCGGCCAATAAAGCGAGATGAGCACCGCAACCCCAGAGTCGGTCACGACTGGACCTAATGGTCAGGGGTCCCTTTACCTTTAAATGCTGAAAGGAAGTATAGAAGCTTGTTCCTTTAAATGTACATTACTGAAGCTGAAGCAATAAAATCAAGTTTAATTAATTAATCATTCCGAATATCCATTGATTCCAAAGTTCCTCCAAGATGAACAACAAGGCACTTCTTCTTAGTCTATGGTTGTTGGTGGGTGGTGGTTGTTGTTGCAGATTCCCCCTGTGCTGTATCTCATACTCTTCTAGAAGGTTCCCCAACACTTGGGGGCAGATTTTCAGGAAATACATAGGGCATTCAGCAGGAAGAGGATATGAAAGGGCCCCATTCCTTGGAACAGGACTCTGGTCATGAAGGTGGAATCCAAGCTAACGAGATCAAACTCATTTAGTGAGTAGGACAAAGTTCGAGGACAAATCATGACACTGAAGCTAATTAAAATATTTTCACGTTTGCATATTCAAAGCCTTCATGGGCTGAATAGGAAAAGGGGAATTTCACAGTCAGGTATGCGTAACTTATTCCTCTGTGAAGAGAACTGGGCGAGTTCATGACTCGGTGTTTGCACAACAATTGCAGCTTACTGCTGGAATGGTAACAAGTAACTTGCAATTATACAGTTTTCCTGTACATACGAAACTGCTATAACCAGTTGGGCGAGTAAGATGCCACTGATTATTAGTGGCTGTTTATCAGAATTAGGCCCAACCACTGGCTTATTTCCAAACTGGAAAGTGATTAAGCTAATCAGAGCTGGCAAAATATTTAAATATTTTCTGCGCCTGTGTCTCTTTAGGTGCTGGCTCTACACATCTTTTCTAAATTCCAGCACAATATTCTAGGCACCCCAGGTGGCATTGCCCCAGCACTGAGCTAAATTTGTGAAACTTGGCTTCCATTTAAACTGAAAGTAAAAAAAACCAAAAACCATCTCCTTAAAAGATTATTGATAAAGTTTTAATTTTGTAATCCTTAATGGGTGTAGGTAGAAGTTGGCTCAAACCCAAAATAGAACAGTTTGAGAGGTATTTTGGGTTCTTCTGCTCTCCCCTTCGTATACACACATTTTTCTTTTTTAAAAAAGCACCCTGAAAAGATAGATTGTAGAGGTATACAATAGTATGTCTCCCGGCTGCAGCACCAGCTTCAAAAGCAGAGACTGCTACAATTAACAATTGTTTTAACTGTTTTAAATTTGTGTGGGTTTGTTTTTGTTGTTTGTTTTTATTGAGGGAAGTCAGATGTGTCTGGGAGGAGAGGAACTGCAGAGAACACAGGGGCTTTCAGTCGCAGTGGTTCAGGGTAGGGGGAAGTGGGGCAGGCCATGTAAGAGGCACACAGCATAGGCCGCTGGTGACTATGCTGTGTGCTAGCCTTTCCTCTAACCTGGGGAATTGCTGTTGTCCCTTCAGCCAGCCCTTAGGTCTATGACTTCTGTTGCTGAATGCCAGGCTGGCTCTGAGTAAGACCTCATCCCTCTTCCATGCTCTGATTATAGATGAGGAAGCTGGTCTGGTCCGTATCACTGAAACCTGGGTAGGCGAGGAGTTGGTCTCACACAGCGGTGCCCACCTGGATACTCAAGTGCAGCGTCAGGGCAGACTTGAGGGCTGGGAAGGGGATGTTGCTGTGGTTTATAGACATTCTCTCTCAACCTTGTGATGTTCAGATGAAGGACAGTATCTGAGAAAGGAATGCATGGCCTCCATAACTTAAATTTACTCTTCCTCATTGGGCTGGTCCAAGGCCTTCTAGCACCTGAGGCATGCCATGGATGCTTCCCCATCACCACAGATCTGGACCCATGCCAGATATGTGGGTCCACAGATCTGGACCCACGACATTGGCTAGAAAGGTGTGCCCTGGTGGGATGGGAGGAGCATGCCGCCTGAGGCGGGTTGTGTCACTGGTGTCAGCCATGCTAGGGCAGGAAGCTAGCTTAGAGGCTGCAGGGCAGACCACATGGCACACCTTTCTAGCCAATGTCCAGCTCTCTGAATTTGCCACCTGAGGCAGCTGCCTCACTCTACATCATGGTATGGCCGGCCCTGGACTCGTGGCTTTGCTGTCAACAACAACATTAAAGAACAATGTAACCTCAGGGTTGCATTCCCCTTCCACTGTCTACCAAAGTCATGAGGCTATATCCAATTGCAGCATCTAATTGAGCTGTGTTTTAAGCTGGCTTTACTTTTAAAATCAATAGCCATGATGGGAAAGGGTTAGCTGCAAATGCAAGAGACATTGTGGAAGCAATATTCAAATATGGTGCTTTGCTTAACTATAAATATCCACATACTGTAATATCCATACACACAAAAAATGCATGAATAAATTCTCCACCCCAATCCTTTTTTTTTTTTGTAGATGGGAATCGTTTGGCTATCGGAATATTGGCAGCATTTTCTGAGCCTAATTTTTAATTTATTTTAGATTTGTAGGGAAATTTTCATATTCCTAATCAACTTAATCAGTCAAATCAAATCTTTATTGCAGTCATAGATCAGCACAAGTAGGGTGCGGGTACAATCATTTAGAATCTGTAAAACGTTTTGGAAAGCTAAAAAGTATTAAAACAGAAAGTATACTAATCAACTTAAAAAACGATTAACCTGGAAAACCCAGGAGTGTTTGGTTGTACTAATAGCCCAAGTTGAAACAAGTGCTCCTTCCATGGCGGGTATAAATAAAGGAAGGTAGAAAAAGATGGGAATAAATAAACAAATCACCTCCTTTTTGACCTTCTCCATGATACGCACAAACTACCTCTCTCTCAGGATTTTTGTGGTCATCTGAAAAAGGCACTTGGCTGCTTTTTGTGTTTTCCTCTTGTCGCGGAAGTTTCCTACCTTTCTTACTAAGGTCACACGAATGTTGGTTCTGCACTTTCAAGCTCTTGTTTGTAGAATAATCAGCAATTGCTGGTTAATAATAATAATAATTTCATTTGTACCCCGCCCATCAGTGACTGGGTTGTCCTTGCCACACTAGTTACCTTGATGTCCTTTTACTTCCCTTGGAGGTTTTTTTTTTTTTTTTTGTATTTTAAGTATCCAAAAAATAATGCTTGAAATATCAACTGGTGTGCTTTTTCTTTTGCAGTAAAACGCTATATCAGGAAAGGCATTCCAAATGAGCACCGTGCACTGGTTTGGATGGTGGTGAGTGGTGCTCAGTCCCACATGGAACAAAACCCTGGATACTACCAGAAATTACTTGAGGGAGACAAAAATGAGAAACTCGTGGACACAATTAAGACAGGTTAGCATCTAAACATATATGTGGTTGTTCAATCTAGTCTGCTGTTTACCAAGGAACCTGTAGCCAAGTATTCCATGGATAGAGAGGCAAGCGTGGGAATTTGTTCGTTTGTTTGTATATTGTATTTCATCTGAAGGCCACAAAATCAGGACACAAAATACGTAATAAAACAAAAAAACAAACAAACCAGTAGCGCCCCTCCCACAAATGCATTTAAAATGCCATAGAACGTTAATCAGTCAAAGGTTTGGCTTATAGAGAAACGTTTTTGCCAGGTGCCTTTATGGACTTGTGCCTTGGTTTTGGAGACAAATGAAAACCTGACCCTTTGCAGAAGCAATGGTGTTTGTGTTCAGTGTGGGACATTCTCTTGGCAATTCCTATGCATATACAGTGGTATCTCGGGTTACATACGCTTCAGGTTACATACGCTTCAGGTTACAGATTCCGCTAACCCAGAAATATTGCCTCGGGTTAAGAACTTTGCTTCAGGATGAGAACAGAATTCGCGCAGCGGCAGCAGGAGGCCCCATTTGCTAAAGTGGTACCTCAGGTTAAGAACAGTTTGAGGTTAAGAACATACCTCTGGATCAAATTAAGTACTTAACCCAAGGTACCACTCTGTGTGTGTGTGTGTGTGTGTGTGTGTGTGTGTGTGTGTGTGTGTTCCTGCTCAAATGGATTATTTGGCTTGATAGTCTGCCAGACTGGTACCAGCAGTGTCTCCACAGGTCTCAAGTGAGGTTGTGTATACACTGACCCATTCATAGCACAGAAATGTAGTTTTTCTCAGTCCAGAATCATTCATGGTTGTCCTCAACATGCTGCTTTCAGTTTAGATTGTTGCTAGATCCTGTCGTCCACAATGGTTACTGGCTATGCATTTTAAAACTCTCCCCTTTATCAGTCATGCCTTTCCCTCCCTGCGCATGCCACAGGTGAATGAAGAAGGAAGCGGTGATGCTCACCCACAACATCATTGGGCTGGTGTGGGTGCCTCCCGGTTCCCATTGCTGGAACTGCTCACATCGGTTTTCACACTGAGGGGTTACAGAGAACTGATCTGCAATGAACTTTTATTTTTGGAGTGAAACAAATTTCAGAAGCAATGCTTTTCAGGGGCAATAAATAAATAAACACATTAGATCTAGATTATGTTTGGATTATATTGGGGGGAGGGAATACTCTTTCTCTGTTGATTCTAGAATAAAATGCCAGTTTCTGCAAGTATAACAAGCCTCTCAGAATATCAGGGCAGCGTACAGCAACCCTTTAAAAGCAGTACAGTACAAACATTAAGATGACTGCAGCGATACCACCACATAGTTAATGTTCTAGGCAAGCAACTATGGTGATTATTCAAGGTCGTTGGAATCTTGTAAAGGATAATCCCTGGAATGCAAAGAAACAATAAAAGACTTCTCTGCAGCCCTGAGGGAGATGGGATAATGTTAAATCCATGGACAGTCGGCAGATGAAATAGACACACAGTTGTGGCACCTTTAACAACACAACAAATTTATTATGGCATGAGCTGTTGTGAATTACAGTCTACTTCAGAGTTGTTTAGGGTCAACCTTCCCTGTTTATAGATATATAGCATTTTGCCTGCATTGCTGAAGAATAAAAGGTTTCTTAAAGCCTGTAATGCTGATCATCTTCCCTTACAGAAAACCATGTTCAATGTGCAGATGTTTAAATTGATATTGAGGACAGGGCTAAAATCATGACTCTGTTGAGCTTGTTCAGATCTGTATTTGAGCATCCCCTACGCACAAGTCATGCATCCATAAGGCTGTTTCGATCCTTTCAATAGGACAGCTGAACCGTATTGTTGATCAGTCAGGGAATCCCAGATAGATAACATGTTGTCAACTATTGAGTTCATGGGTGAGAAGGCAACTTCAGATCCCAAGACTTTGGTCCATGAATCATATTGCTTTATAGATACATTTTAAATTTTTGCCGTTTCCTTTTTTTTACATTTTAGACATGAATAGGACATTTCCGGATAATGTAAGGTTCCGCAAAACTGCTGATCCCTGCTTACAGAAGACACTCTACAACGTATTAGTGGCATATGGGCACCATAATCAGTCTGTGGGATACTGCCAGGTATGTAACATTCGGAATGCAATCGTTAGCTTCTTTTAAAGCGAAGCATTTACAACTTGGGTGGCCTTGATGGCAATGCAAGATTTGAGAAATGTAGATTTCATGCACTTAACCTTCCCACCCTTCTATTTTAGTCCTTAGTCAGTATCTTAAATTTGCCATAGTTTAGTCCTTTCCAGTTTGCTCCTTTATTTGGAACTTTCCAGTCTCAAGAGGCTCAGAGACCCTCGCACCACCTCACATGCGAACAATACCTATCGAACTTACACCATCATTGCATATCAAACTGCCGTAGGTATAAAGTGAGCTGCTACTGTTCTCTAAAATGCACTGTAAACCTTAACATTGGTTGGGAGACTTTTTAAAGCAAAAATTAGACATTTCTTTAAAAGAAGGCAAAGCCTTTTCAGCAAGGTAAAAGATTGCTTGCTGGAAAAAGCGCTCCGGGGGGTGGGGGCAGATTGCTTCGAGTCCTTTCAGACACCCACCAAGTGTGGGACAATGCTTGCGAACCTGGGGCACCCGAGTTTGTGTTTCAACACGACCTTCCTAACACTTGTAATGTTAATGTGCCTGACAGTTAACTCCCTGAGAAACATCACTGTGAACTCTGAAGTTAGTGTTGCCTTGCTATTGTACGCTGCAGTACTATGCTTCTGTGCATGAGCTTTTATGCTGGCATGTACAATTTAGTTTGCTCCATGAATGTCTGTTGAGGGGCACTCTTTTGTTGCAGTGCCAAATAACCCTCTGTCACCATGGTTGCTATTGTTGAGCAAGCTGGCAGTCTGAGGGCTGAAAACGTACCCTCACAATTGGAGGGCAAATACCCCCATAAAGTAGAATAGAGGGTTTTGTTGTTGCTGTTTACAACATCTGTTAGCTTTTTTACATTTCAGGGAAAATTGGAAACAAACGTTTTTGAATCATGCCCATTAGGCACAAACAGATGCTTATGAATTCTTGGAATTAAAAAGCAAAACAACTGGACCTATTTTGGATTAACTGAGCTACTAGTTGTGGGACAACTCTTCATTTATCCAGGAGTCAGTCCCCACCCCCACCCCATCTTCCTCCTTGAAACCAGATGCATTGTTTATGAAATAAAAATGAGAGAGCTTCGTTCTTTTCCATGGAAGGAGATGGTAAAGAAGAGTGATTGGTGAAAGGTTCAGGGAGGTTTCAAAAGAAAGAGATGAAACAGGAGATGCATTCAAAGGCCGGATCTGACAGACTGCAATTGATACTAGTGTCCATGAATGTTTTAAAACGATCTTACAACTTGTACACTTCAGACTTGGGGACTAGCAATTGCTGTGAGTGTGACTAGGATGGCTGCAAAAGAAATTCATGGCGGGGTGTGTGTGTGTGTGTGTGTGTTTGTGTTTGTGTTGCAGAAATAGAAATAACAGCACAACCCTATCCATGTCTACTCAGAAGTAAGTCTTATTGAATCCATTGGTGGCTAACTCCCAGGTAAATAGGGTTAGGGTTGCCGTCAAATGTGAACTAATATTACGATGAACTTGATGCAATCCTACTCTTCCCCACCACACAGACAGCATTAAGAATCCATTTCTTGCCCAGAGACTGTCTTTTGTCTGCTTTTTCTTCTCTATGCCAATTAGCCACATCATAAATCATTGAGTTAATTGCCATTTCGCTACTTAACCCAAAAACCTACAATGCTTGCAATGATGCACTCAGCTGGTTCTGGTCCATGGCTGACTGCCTGGGGACCACATGCATCCTGCCTTTGGTTCTGTGATGAAAGAAAGGTAGGGCATAAATATAAGGAAACAAAAATAAAACAACATTACATCATATGATGCAAAAACCAAACAACGCAGTTGTATTTCCTGTGTTGCTTATGTGTGTTATACTTCAAATAGCCAAGCTATGAACAGGCTGTAATTCTGGAGTCAGCTGTAGAATTCCTAACTGGTATTTAAAAAAAACCACACCTAATTACTCTGGGAAAGGTTTGAGTATTATCATTGGCTGAAAGTAAAGGAGTGTGCTTGGGGTGAGCACTCAATGGAAAACACAACTGGCAGCCATTTTGCCATGTAAGCGGTATATAAATTAATAAATAACAATAAATGAAAACGGGGCTTATTCACATCCCTGAATACTTCTTTTGTTTTATGCATTCATTTGTGGTCATTCAAACAGTTTTCATCCTTCATTATTCAAGGGAGTGGAATTCTAGACTTTGCACAACTATAAATGGAGACTTAAGTCTGTGTGATCTTAAAGTCAAAGTGGCCCAAACATTATTTTCCTTTTAATGTAGCCTCGGAAATTGAAGTGTTTTACTCTTGCATCTGCAGCAAGAAATTGCTCACAGCACTTTTAAAAATGACTCTTGATAAGCGTGAATGACCATTAGGTCCTCCCTCTGCCCCTTGGCTCCTTTTAAGATTACTTTTGTCAGCATTGTATCAAGCTACTTAGATAAATTGTTCCTTTGTGTTTTAGGGCATGAATTTCATAGCAGGCTACCTGATTCTTATCACAAGGAATGAAGAGGAATCCTTTTGGTTATTAGATGCTCTCATTGGTCGAATACTGCCTGGTAGGTCAAACTCCCACCATCTCTATCTTTGTGTCACAGATAACTTCCTGTGTTTGAGCTAAGTAAGAGTGACTATCAAATGGGTAGTCTAATCATATAATATCGTAACTCCAGAGAATTACCCAATTACTACATTGAAAGCAGTTCTCTGTAGGAAATAGCAATCACATTCCTCTATTCATTCTATTTACACTTCCCTTTTGTATACGTAGCAAAATACATGTTGATATATTCTTTTCTTTTTACTGAGAGCAAATAGCCTAGTCTTTTTTGGCATTTGGGATATTTCCTTCCATAAGAGGCCCTACGTCCTATCACAACATCATCCTATACTATATATATACACAGAGAGTGTGTGTGAGTGAGTGTGATAGTGATATATATTGAAAAGTTGCACAGAGCTAAAACAGACCATAGAATTTGTAATATTTCCATGGAAAAATGCCCCCCAAATTAGTTGTGGTGGGTGGCGAGGGGTGGGGCCGTGGCCCCCCTGGGTGCATTCTGTGGACCCCAAAGTGTCCACGGGAACCACTGCTATAGAGCATGTACCACTGAGAAAACCTGGAAGATGTTTCTCACCTAGCCTTTTCTGACATGCTGGGTATCTGTGAATGAGGAGTGTCTTCTTCATGGTACATCATTCCATCATGTGAGCTCCCACCTGCAATATAAAGTGCTGCAGTCTGGACATAGGCATAGTTGGCGTTTTGCTGTACTTCTCATCCTTTACAAAAGGCAGGCAGGCAGCAAGGAAAGGAAAGACCTACATAAAAAGAATCTGCGAAATTGAACCAGAGCACTTCTGCAGGCCTCTGTCATTTGCATGTTAATTAAAATAGTTAAGGTGTAGTACAATAGGAACTGCTAAAGCATGCTTCTTAGAAAGGAAGTGGAATCTTTAGTGGTTCATTCATCTTCCAGTGACTGGAACTGGAACTGCTAGATGTATTTTTTTTAGAGCATGTCTTTAGAAGAAAGGCTTGGGGTACAAAACCTGTGACGTCTTGAAAGTCTTGTTTGCTTTTGAATTATTTTTGCTACATCCCTTGTTTTTGTTTTCTGAAAATAGTCTTTTAACCATTATCCCAAAGATAATGGGGATTTTCAAGACACCAGATAGCGGTCTCTCTTCCCCCTTTCTGCTCTGTCCAACAAGAAGCAACTCACAGTGAAAACGTGTAACTACAACCTAGCAGAGAGTTCAAAGTTGCTGGATCTGAATCCAGAATTTCAATCATTGTACAGATCTATTTGCAGCATCCTTGAAATTTGATCAGTTCCTAAATGCTCCTAAAAGTGTGAAAGCAAGCATAGCCGCGATTCTTTCTCCTTTAAAAAATGTTTGAATAAATGCACATCTTTCATAAGTTGGCTGGGCTGCCAAGTATTGGGGAATAGCCCCCCCCCATGTCCTCAAGTGCTGCACTTAATCTCTTCTTCACAAGAGTGAATAATCACTACACACTGACGTAGCAGAAAATGAAGAGGTGTGTTTGGGGGATGTTGTTGGAGGGCTAGAATCTTCCGGATATAGACTGCAACTTGCCAGTTTTCATTTTGACTTCTTTGTTAAGTATTCGGGCTATCTTTTCCCAGTTAAACATCCAAAGTTTTTCTAAAACTTTCTTGCAAAAGTGGGTACAGCAACCTTGTGTTGAAGTCTACATGGGCATGCATATGCCGTGTTTCAAAAGACGATTCTTCAGCTTCTTTGCATTGTTGATCTGAAGATGGAGATTTAAAAGTAGAAAAGGTCAGGGAACTGCACCATGCTCTATTTCTGGATATTCTTTTTAATCCATTTGTGGCAGAGAACAAGTCCACAATAGCCATTATAATCTTTATTCCTTATTCCCTGCAAATCTCATTACTGGTCCATAGAAGAGTTTGGACTTGATATCCCGCCTTTCACTCCCTTTAAGGAGTCTCAAAGCGGCTAACAATCTCCTTTCCCTTCCTCCCCCACAACAAACACTCTGTGAGGTGAGTGGGGCTGAGAGACTTCAGAGAAGCGTGACTAGGCCAAGGTCACCCAGCAGCTGCATGTGGAGGAGCGGGGACGCGAACCCAGTTCACCAGATTACGAGTCCACCACTCTTAACCACCACACCACGCTGGCTCTCCCATAGGACAAGAAAGCAGCTGCAACTTTATTGATGCTTTATTAAAGATTGTAATATCAAGACTCAAGCAAATCTGGCAAGCAGAATTCTGTTGAACTGTGAGCCCTAAAAGCCACTGTGTGTGTGAAAATACTGAGTCCCAGTGATGAGGGAAATGCATGCACAAACCTGAGCATCATCATAACCCTATAGGGATCTCGCGTGCCTTTTTCCTCCGTCAGTACTGAAGCAGATGCAGTTTTCAGCTGTTGTCTGAATCAGAGGTATATATTGTGAGTTAAGAGGAAGCAGTATAAAGCGTACCTCTGTCCAGCACATTGGGAAAAGCATATCTCTCTCTCTCTCTCTCTCTCTCTCTCTCTCTCTCCAACTTGGATAGGGAACATACTCTCTTAGAGCACTTTTACCCATTTTTTAAAAAGGAAGCAAACGCATATCGATCTTCAACTGTTTTGTAATGCCAGTGCAAACCTACAATGACCAGCACTCACATTTTAATTTCTTATGCTTCAGTCTCACAAGGATATCTTTGCACTATATCATAAATTGCATGAGAGAGAGGCTCAAAAGCTATTGAACTCTTCCAGGTGAAAACATTGGTTTTCACCTGGTAATTGCAAGTTAATGCAGTTAATTCAATTGGTTAAGTAACACGTCAACATCACTTTGCAACAATTTCCCAAACAGCCTTTCAAGCTGATACACAAATACTAAAACCACTTCAGTAAAATGCAGGTTTGGTACTTAAGTGAGCTAGCTTTCCTTTGTCTCTATTGCAGCTGTGTATTTTGTGTTGTTGTTTTTTGTAGTGTCGAATACAACTCACTTGGTCTATGACAAAACCTGCTGCCTCAAATCTTCCAGATATTTCATGACTTCAAAGGCTGGTTGCTCCAAGAACTGGACATTCTAAATCTGTTCACAAGCAAAGGAGCTTGAATGTCACAGGGCCGGTGTGGATGCATCATATTTTAACTGATCATATTTGATTATATTAGGTGATATTTGAAATTGTGGGAATGGCAAGCAAAGTAATGACGAGATAGAAGGGAAAGATGCAGGTAATACAGGACATTGGATAAATCTCAGTTAGACATGTTCATAGTCAACTGATGAACTGGATAAATCAAGTTAACAGGATGATTAGAATTGTTAAAAACAGGACACAGTTAATTTTAAGTTTTTTATCTCCGCCATGAATCAGTCTCTCTCCTCCCCCAATCACTGAGCTGCAGTAGGTGACAGCATATGCTAGGTTTCCTCAAACTAGGCCTTCCAGATGTTTTAGGCCTACATCTCCCATGATCCCTAGCTAGCAGGGTCAGTGGTCAGGGATGATGGGAATTGTAGTCTCAAAACATCTGTAGGGCAGAGGTTGAGGAAGCCTGACATATGCCATGAAAATAATTCCCTTTGAGTTTTTACCTAGTCCACACACACAGGATGGTTTGTTGCTTAGCTGACGTTAATGTCTCTGTATCTTAAGCCACTCCATAGAATTGGATGTGCTATAATAGTCTTTTAGTGGACCAACCATACCATTTCTGAGCCTGCCTCAACTGGTAAAGATCTCCATCATAGGCAGTGTTCAGAACTCCCATTGTTCTAGGTGCATTTTGTGAAAGGGAATTTAATTAGCGTGGGCAGTTTCTGAGCTCTGGGTGCAGTACTGCGTCTTAAGATTTCGGATTAAAACTGCAGAGTGTAAGAAAGGAGGACCTTTTTCTGCCTCCTCACTTCCAGCTACTCTCTGAAGACTGGGGAAGAGACCCTCTTAAGAATATTAGGGGGGTGGGCAGGGGAATGACCAGACTATGTGAAAAATGAACGTAATGTTTTAGCAGCAGTTCATTCATTTTCAGCTTTGTATTCTTGTTATAAAAAAGCACACCTAGACACATTGTTGTTGCATCCATAACCAAGGTTTAAGGTGCCATTTAGCTCCTAGCTTTCATATCTGTTTCTAACATTGATCATAGGCTTGACTCATAGGTTTTGATTCTTTAAATAGGTAGCTACTGGGTGTAAGGCTCTCTTAATAGTGGCGCCTTGACTATGGAAATCTCTCTCCTTATCTTTGTTGCTGCTCTACTTGATCATCTTCCAACACTGAGTAAAAGCAATTCTTCATTTTTGGGCTTTTCCTTGGTACCCTAGGAGCCAACTCCTAGACGCCAAGGGCCCTTCACCTGCCCCCAGTAAAATATATTGGGGGTCAGGCATCCCTAAAGTTGATGGGCATTGCCATTCAAATGGTGTGCTTGCACTGTGTCTTGTGATCAATTCTGCAGGGTGAGGCCTGCCTCCCCCTCCCCCTGCTCGGTAGTATTTAAATGGCTCTTGCGAGTTGTAACCCAAGGCAAGCTTTCGCCAATGGGGCCTCCAAACAAATTTGTTTGTAATCCAAAAAAAAAATGGGTTGTAATACAAAAAAAGTTTGCAAACCGGAACATGCACTTCCGGGTTTGACATGTTTGTAATCCAAAACATATGCAAACCAGACTGTTTGTAAACCAAGGTAAAGGACCCCTGACCATTAGGTCCAGTCGTGGACGACTCTGGGGTTGTGGCGCTCATCTCGCTTTATTGGCCAAGGGAGCCGGCGTACAGTTTCTGGGTCATGTGGCCAGCATGACTAAGCCGCTTCTGGCGAACCAGAGCAGCGCACAGAAACGCTGTTTACCTTCCCACCGAAGCGGTACCTATTTATCTACTTGCACTTTGACATGCTTTCAAACTGCTAGGTTGGCAGGAGCAGGGACCGAGCAACGGGAGCTCACCCCATCGCGGGGATTTGAACCGCCGACCTTCTGATCGGCAAGCCCTAGGCTCTGTGATTTAGACCACAGCGCCACCCGTGTCCTTGTGTAAACCAAGGTACCACTGTACTATTATCTCAAGTTTTGCTGTTTTTTATTGTTGTGGTTTGGTTTTAAATATGTTTTTCTACAGTGCCTGTTTTGCAGAAAGGGCTCTCCCTCTTTCTATTTTGTGCCTGGATGTTAATATTCCATGTGCAATAAGGCACACTCTGCGTGGCAGTGATGCCAGAGAGAATCCATATAACACTGGGGCACAGACTTGGAAAACTTAATTTCTAGTTGACCTCTGTGCTCAGTTGGTGCTAGTATTTTCTGATCATGAAAGCACAGTAACTCAATAATGGCACGCCTAGTCTCAGTCTAGTTTTTAGCAGCTTGGAAACATGCCCTGCTAGCCTTGTGGGAGCTTTACCATTCGTTTTCTGCTCTGAAGACTGAAAGCAGCAACTGCTGTTCCCTTTCCACAGATCAAGTGATTAATGTTGAACATGATGCACAGTGACTTATGCCAAGTTACAGAGCGCCCTCTGGAGGCTTCCTTAAGAAAATGTTTATTTTCTGTATTTCTTTTAAATACTGAGTTTATGTAAAAAAAAAAGGGGGGGATTACTTGGTTGCCTATCTGACAACTTTTTTTGCCACCTGCTCCCAAGCCTATTGTGGTGCCAACAGCAGTTTCTGTAGTCTTGAATTACATTTAGCAACTTTATATTTTCAGGTGCCTGTGATGGACTGGGAATTAGCTTGGAGCAGTTTCTCTAGGGCTTATTAGGCAGGACCCCATCCAGAATGAGACCCAGGGACCCACAAATGTAGTTTCTGATGACTACCAGTGCTCACAAAACCATTCTTGCAACCAGCTGCCCCTGATCACTGTGCACAAAGTAAGAACCCTCCCTCCCCCTGAGTTTTCTGAGAGTCTTGCGGAACTTAATAGGTGAGAGGAGCTATTGCACTGTGTGGTCCTTGGTGGTGACAAATCATACTAAGGCTGGCACTAATTTATGGAGCCATACTGAGACCTTTTCGTGTTGAAATAACTCTCTGACAATTGCATGTGGCCTTCGAACGTTTCGTGGACCCACATGTTATAGGTAGTGCCTGAGATGCTTTGAAGGATAAATCCCAAAATGTACCACATATAGTCACACACAGCTGTTTATCTGTCAGCTGTGTATTTGTGTTGGGTCTGCTCAAGTCATGGAACACAGGGCGTTTTGACAGCCTCTCCTAGTTATAGCGCAATCTGAGCCCTCTTAACAGCTGTCACAATATGTGGGGTTGAGCCCTTTACTCTTGAAGTGGAAAGACACACGCTGCAATTTTACCTGTTGAAAAATGAGCTCTTTCCCTTCCCCATATACTGTTTTTCTTTTCAATGAATGATAGCAATTGATCATTTTGGTGATTAGCTTTTGTCTCCCCCCTTAAAGATTATTATAGTCCAGAAATGATGGGTCTGAAAACAGATCAAGAAGTTCTTGGAGAGCTTGTGAAAATGAAAGTTCCTGCCGTTGCAGAATTAATGGAGAAACATGGCATCATGTGGACTTTGCTGGTATCGCGTTGGTTTATATGTTTGTTCATTGACATTCTTCCAGTAGAGGCAAGTGAGAACTTGATGGTATTTTTAGCTGTGTGGGTTTTGTTTTTGTTAATGGCATAGCTATGTGCATGCTTTAGTGATGCCTTTAAACAAAATCCTCTCTCCGACAGACTGTACTTCGAATTTGGGACTGCTTGTTCTACGAGGGATCAAAAATAATATTTCGTGTGGCCTTAACACTAATTAAGCACCACCAAGCTTTCATTTTGGAAGCCACCAACTTCCCAGATATCTGTGATAGATTTAAAGAGATCACCAAAGGACCATTCGTAACGGAGTGTCACACTTTCATGCAGGTAGGCGTCCCATGTTGTAGAGAATTATAAACTGGCTAGAAACGCTGTGAGCATTGGCAGCCTTCAGTTTATTTGCTGTTGCTTTTCTGCATACAGTGCCCCTTGAAAGTCAAACAGCCTAGTTCTCGAACCTTTTGGCTTCCAAACGATCGAAATCTGGAAGTGACTCTTCAGTTTTTGAATGTTCTTTTGGAAGTTGAACGTCCACTGGAGCTTCCAATTGGCTGCAGGAGCTTCCCGCAGCCAATCAGAAGCCGCACTTTGTTCGACTTCCAAAACGTTCGAAAACCAGACTTCCAAGGTACAACTGTATTGCTTCAATGTGCTTTTTCATGGTGCTCTTGAACTTGGGTTGGTTGGATATAACTAGAAGTGGGCCGAACACTATAGAGAGAGGAGTTTGAGGCAATTTTTTTGCTGATGCTCTCTCTAATCTCCCGTAAAGCTGCTGTCAGATAGATGTTCAAGGGATCCTGTGGAGCAGCATGGGAGGCAGCACCAGAGCCAGCATCTTTGCTCTGGTGTGAATTTTCACTGGATCTCCTTCCCTTCTGCTCACAGAAGAGCAAGTCTGAATCTGACCCATAGTTTGCAGCACTGAAGTGACCACCCTGGGAGACAAACCTGGGCAGAGTGTATGGAGGTGGTCCTGGGCTCCCCAGCCTCGCTGATGTTGTCCAAGGGAAAGAGCCATTATAGTGATGGGAATACTCAAGGATGCAAAAAGAAGAAACCACTTGTAAAAAGAATGACAGTGTCCTGACTTACACTAACAACTGCTAAATTCTTAATTCTAGAAAATATTTACAGAGCCTGGAAGTCTGAGGATGGCTACAATAGAGAAACTACGAGAAACTTGTAGAGCAAATCTGATTGCTCAGACATAAATGGACAATATTTAAAAAAGACAAAATGCTGCAAAAAAAATGGGCACATTTCTTCACTTAATTCCACTGATACACCATTTCTTCAGTTTCCATTAGTGTTGATTGACATGACCAATTCTCTCCAGCCTTTCAAGTAAGTGTTGAACTGGGTAATTTGATTATTATTATTTTTGTAAAAACAAATAAGTTATGTGAGAATAAAATGTGGTCACTGTGGTGGTAACCTTTTTTTTTGGGAACAAATGCACTGCATACCTTCAGAAGATTTTGTAATATTTAAATACACAGATTTATAAATATCAATATAAAAATGCAAAATAAATTCTATTTTGAAATCCCCTCTTCTTGAACTTGCATAGTAAAATGGGCCTAAGACCTCTAGCAGAAGTATTTAAGAAGAATCTCCAGCAGCTGGAAATATTCAGTATGCTTCTGCATGCTGTTGACGTTAAAAAAATCAAATTTGGTCTATGTATTGATCACAGGGAGGTTTTGCTGTATCTCCCCCCCCCCCCCGCGGAGTAGGCTGACGCTTGAAATAGTTTGTGTTGGGAATCAATTGTATGATTAGGAGCCATCTGGTATGCAGATCTTCGAATGAATGGCTACTAGAACAAGCACAGCTTCTATTTGCACCTCTGAACTTTTAAGTTGTGTGTGCTTTGTCCTGTTGTGACTGTATGATATAGGGTCTCTACCTGTTAAGTAAGGCTGGGCAATATCTGGTCATTAACATTGTGATGCAGCTAAATGCCATGATGTCTGAAATGTATCTCGACTGCTGCTTCCTCACCACCTTAGGGGAGGAAGCAGCAGCCAAGATACATTGCCCAGCCCCATGCCGTTGTAGCTCACGTGAGCAAGAGCAGTATGGGGGCTTGATCAGTTGAGTGGGCAGCTTTCCGTGCCCCCCAGTTGATCAACCCCCCCCCTGCATAAGATGGGGGGTGGGGCTTCTTTAAACTGCTCAGCTAAGGGGCAGGAAGCCTCCAACCCCACAGCTGAGTAAGCCACCATACAGCTCTGGCTTCCGCAAGCCAGAAGGGCAGGGGGAAGGCAGGTGGTAGCTTGTCACCAGCACAGCAGGAGTGAGGTACGCTGTGCTGGCAATGGCTGCCAGGCATTTACACAACAGCCCACCACGTATTCCCTTGTCTGTAGGTACCTTGGCCACTGCAAACCCAACTGCTCTTTCATCTTCTGAAACTGCTTCTGAGCTGCTCTAGGGCAGAGAAGCAGACTAAGGAAATGAAGGTGGCAGGCAAAATTTGCTGCTTGGGTTTTGCAGCGCACCCCGTCCACTTCTCTTTACACAAAGATGTCGCAACTGCTCAACTGGACACTGACAAAACATACAGAAAAGTCTTTATTAGCATTGTTACAGGCAATGCATCCATAACTGATCCTTGCAGTGTACAGTCCCAGCCAAGATCAAAGCAAGAATTAGCAGACTGAAGTCTATTATTGTACACATGTGCAGAAAAAGGACCTCCTTTGAACTTCAACAGAAGAGACTGAAATTCACTTTACAAAAAATAAAGTAACACCCATTTTTTTATGTAAAAAAGGGCCAGCTCCTACCAAGCTGACAGACCAAAAATATCTTAGAAGTCAGCCAAATTGTATCTCCACACCTTGCATATACCAGGCTTAGCATTTAAAGCTTATTAATGATGCATACCTAGGTAGAGACAAAGTGGGAATTGTGTAAGTTTGATTGGTCAGTCATACTGTAGTTACTGCACCTAAGCAGTTTAAATTCAGCACAGGGTGGTAGTATCAGAAAAGTGGAAATTTCCCTTTGTTAGATATAATTAATCTGAATTTTAAGTGAATGAATGTGAATTAACTACATCACATCCATTTAGAGTAGTTGACATTAAAAACCATGCCAATTCAGAAAAGCATTCTTAAAACTTCAGCCTGTTTCTATGTGGGTGAATACTTAACCCATTAGCAAAATTAAACAGAATTATAGAAGTTATCCTTTGTGCATAGTTAAATGCCACGAGATGGATTTCACATTTAGTAAAAGCAGGCACTGCAAGAAACAGTTGGTAAGGAAGAGATTGTGCTCCCTCATATCAATCTATTTGAGGGGAAGATGGGAAATGGGGGGAAATCGATGTATCTGCTTCTTGCAACTGCTGTTCTCCCACACTGGTTTAAGGAAGTGCAAATCATTAAATTGTTTGATAGCCAGCATGGCTACGTTTTCTGCCAATTAAATATGCAATCAACACTATAAGGACAAGTCCAGCAAGGGCTGCACCAACTATGATTGGGATCAACATATTGTTTTCATCCATTGGGCATTCTTCCGCTGAAAGAAAGAAAAAACAATTCTATTAAGCAGATTTAATCCTAAAATTCTGTTAGAAAAATAGCAAGGACCCAGGCCAAACACCAAATAATCATTTCAGGACCCAATCTATTCTACTCTTCAGTGATCTGTCAGGGTATCTACACTGACTATCAGAAAGTGAATTTAAACCATTTTGCCTCCTAACTTACTGCAGGCGCCTTCCAAATACTTTTGGACTACAATTCCCATCATACCTAACCCCTAGCAGGCTCATGCTGGGAGTTGTAGCCCAAAATATCAGAATTCTAGGTTCCCAACTGGTAGAACCTTGGAGGAACAACTTCACAAGGTATTATTATTACAGTTGTTACCACTTGGTAAAACAGTGTCTGTATTTATTCAAAACTAATAGAGTTTGAAGTAGCATTGCACTTTCTAAGTTTTGACAGTAGTAGTTCTAATAGTGGAAGTGCTTTTTTGCCCACCTTTGAGCACAGGTGGTGTCTGAAGTAACCGTTTCAACCTTGTTACTTTGCCCTTCATATGAAATCAGGCAATTTCAAGCCTGAGAAAAACGGTACACAATCTTACAAGCAGCATGTTTAGCTCAACTCTAGGCTCTCTAATCATGGCTATCATATTTTCTCCCAAAAGTAATGGGAGACAACTAACTTTCTGTGGAAAGGCCATATGCACAACACCAGTCCCTCAAGCACACCAGTATAGGAACCCCCTTGCTAGCAGTTCAGCACAATGCGATGGATGCAGAAAAGTCTGGATTGTCACAGCATGTAGCGCTAGGATGAGGAACCTAAGTCCCACCAGCCGCTGCTGGTGACTGGGAGCGATGGGTTAGCTGCTAGCAATATGATGCAAATTAAAATGCTCAGCAGTCAGATCAGATGGCGTCTTGGTAAACTCTCCTTGGGAATCTGAAGGGTTAATAGCCAAACATTTGTAGCATATAGCTATAAGCACAGCTGTGTACTTTTGCAGTAAGGTCACCCCATAAGGCAGAAATATACACTTTATCAAACTACATTTTTTCTCTATACTGTATATGGCATCTTGCTCTGTGCCGACTCCCACCCCCACCCCCTTTTGAAAGTGCAAAAATGACAATCTTCCTTTACCAATTGGGAGTCAACTTTAAATTAGTGAGGCTGAAGGAAGAAGGCTGCTTATTGTGGAGTGTTCTGGTACGACAGACTAGGAATCAATGATAGTCTTCCTTGTGAAACTTATTTAAGCTTCTTTTAACTACATTCAGTGTTTGGGCAGAGCCGAGATGAGCCACCATATAATAAAACTTACCCCTGAGGTTGCGATGAACAAATTAATCTACATTTAACTGCTTAAGTCACAGATCATGTGCTCACCCCACAGTAATGTAAAGAAACAAACCTATAAATGTGTACAGGTGACACCACTGAGTATGGCCAAGCTAGATCATCAAGTTACTATTGCTCTCAAAGAATGAAGTTTTTGCACTGAACTTGTGTTTAATATGTAGTTATACAGCTTACGTGTTCCAAATGTGTTTCCTGTGATCTTGAAAGCCTGGACTTGAGCATTGAATATATTGAGAGAAGTTTCATTCGAGATCCAAATACTCTCTTCTGAAAAACACTTGTACGATTTCCCAACTGTTGCTTTGAGAGCACTCAGGCTATCGTTGTCAGCTTTAAATGTTCTTTCTGTATTAAAAAAAACACACAGATGAGATTAAGTAGGACCACACTCTTTTGTAAAGGCACCAGCCCATTTTGCCACCATGTTTTTATAGGTGGTGGTGTGAAGTTACTGATGAGCAGTAACAAAAGTCAGGACCCCTTTCCTGCTGTCAGTACAGCGTTGTCTTGGACAAGCTATTGCACCAAACTTTTATAGGCTATTTGATTTCCTGGGCTTGAGGACCCTGAAATCATGGTGTGGGTGTCAATCAAACCAGTTGACTGTACTTCAAGGTTCATGGCTTTATCTCTTATCTCCTAGTGAGCCTTCTAAAAGCTAAAGAATGAATAACCCTGGCATTTCAAACTGGCAATTAACAAAGTTTGTGAATACTTGCATCTCTTTATCTTCTTCGAACTCTCTGCTATTTTGGACATTCTTTGTATCCTTCAAAATCTAAGCTATTAAAGTCATTTTAAAATACATATATATTACTTACTTATAGATTCAGGAGGCAGACTTGTGCTCACAGAGATACGGTGCAGAAAATACTTGTCAGTGGTTGAGTTCTTAAAAAGAAAGATAAATCTTAGTCACTGGTTGGGTTTCTTTTAAAAGGCTATCCTATGCATGCTACAGGGACACCATATCACTGGTAAAATATTCTGCAGTTGTTAATAGAAAGGGACAACATACATAGCGTATACATCTGCATATCATGACAAGCCATAATTAAAACATGGCTTATGTGCATGCACATGCTGCTGAATCACTCCTGCTTCACTCCCTTTGTTGAGCCAGGAACAAAAAACCACAAGCACTGGCAACTACAGATCAAGAACTATGGTTTAAACACTAAAGAAGACACTGAAGATGAAATGCCCCATTTTAAGGGTGTGAACTCTGGAATTATTGGTGATTTTAAGAAAGGGAGGCTGTTTCATAAGCTCAAGTAAATAAACGGAAAAATACAAAATGGCTATCATGCCAATCTGCTCATTCACAAAATTACAAGTCATCTAAAATTGCCATTTTATTTTTTAACAAGTGCCATTTATTTATTTACTAATTTGCACCACCTTCCTCCAGGGTGATAAACACACCAGTAGTAACATAATGAAAACCTCTAAAGCAACCTTCTAAAAACAGTCTAAAGCTACTGAAGTTCTGCACATAAGCTATTGTGCCCTGATCCATGATCTTCCCAATTACTGGTGGAAGCAGAGTTATGCACATAAATAGAGTAATATTTGCATGGTCTATACATGTCAAACACGGCTCCGCCTGTCAATCAGAAGCAGTCAATGTGGTGTCCTCCCAACTTCACTGGCTCGAGCTAGCATAACCAAAAGTCAAGGACAATGAGGGGCATAAACCAATACCATACGGACTACATCAGCATTCTGTAAGTGTGGCATCAAACTATGCTTACCTGCTCAAAATAAAAAACCAGGTCAGTGCTCCCAGAAGTCAAGTTCAGAGTAACTGTAGAGTCTCCACAATTCCCAGAGAAAGTTGTATTTGCTGGAAGATTCAACAATTCCCACTTCTTAGTCTAGGAAATATAAAAACAAAAAGTTATGTCATATTTTCATTTAAAAAGACCTTCTCACTGGAGATGAAGCAATAATGTATGCACTTTCAGTAAATTTTGTGTAAACAGCTTTGGGAACAGTGTGCAGAAACAGGAAAGCAACTTTCCTAGCAATACACAATAGGGTTAAATTGAATGACTTTACTGTACAGGCTATGATCTGTATGGATATTGAAATGAGCACATTATTAAAAAGCCTTTGGTGCACAGCAGTTTTATCTCCTTGATTGTTTTTAAATTTTAGCTATTTTTAATTGTCTTGTTTTGCTGGGCTCCTTTTCAGTAACAACCATAGTGCCATGGGAGTGATCAGGAGAAGATAAACTTTTCCAGATTTTGCCATGTTTATGATTAGTCTAAATTTAACTGGCAGTTGTGCAAGAGTAAGAGATCTTGGCCAAGTCTGCAGGACATAGTGCACAGGTGGACAACACTAACCTCCTTGAAACACATTATTGTGTGGCTGCTGGTGGTGAAGAGCCTGGATTTAATAAGCCCACTAGTCTGGTCTAAGGTGCATTAGCTTCCCATGTATCTCTATGTATTGCTATGTATAAATAATAAATATGGAAGTTACCTGGTTTTTGGTGGTGTAGGTAATATTAAGCTGCAGGCCCATAGAAGCAAGCAAACAGCCAGTCAAATTGTATCGTCCAACGTCTGGAGTTTTGGGGGCTGCAGTTGGTGCTGCAGTTGGTGCCACACTTGTAGTTGAGGGAACGACGGTTGTAGACCCTTTGTCTTCACTACAGACAGTTTCTGGAAGGCAGTGATCACAAACCATAGCATGGAAAGTAGTCAATTAACACTCTGACAACCTTAATTTTTTCACTTTGTCCAGTCTTTTCTCCTACTTTGCTCCCAACTACAAAATGTGTACTTAGCCCCTTTTTGTTTTTGAAAATATATTTTAATATCCCTTGTACAACTGTGTTCTTCAAGGCAATTCATAGTTTGTTAAGCTCAAAAACAAAGACGTTTACTGATAATGCAATCGTTAAAAAGCCCAACAATATGAAACATACAATGAAGACGGGAGCTAAATATTTAAGCATCAGCATGAAGCCTGCAGAGGCAAATTCCACAAAACTCAGGAAGACAATAGCATAGGCAACAGGTGAGCCTTTTTGCAGAGCCTTACATAAATGGGGTTCCACCATCAAAAAGACCCTCTCCATGATAGCCACTCACCTTACCACATTAGGTGTGGAAATGTGGGGAAGGGCCAGTGAAAATCTTAAGGCCCCAGGACAGAAATATATGAGAAAATATACTCATTCAAGCAGCCTGACCCCAAGCCATTTAGGGCTTTAAAGGTTAAAACCAACACTTTGGATTGGGCCCAGAAATGGGCTGGAAGCTAGTGCACATGTGCAATATGATTTTATTTGCCAATCCCCATCAGTAGTCTGACCACTCTTATTTTGGACCAACTCAAGTTTCTAGATAATTTTCAAGGGCACAATGCTGTATTCCAACCAGGAGCTCTGTTGAGTCATAGTTAGGTCAGCCAAAACTGATAAAAGGTGCTCCAAATCACTGGACCACCTAAACCTCATAGGGGGGGGGGGCAGCGGAGTGCTGGATCTAGAAGCACCCACAAGCTAACTTTTTGTCCTTCACATGTTTTGGACTATGATCAACTGCAGCCAATATGACTGTGCTGTAGTTGGAGGAGCCTGAGCCACAGTACAAAATATCTAGAGGACACTGGTTTGGCAATGGCTGGGCCTATGATACTGAAAGCTGCCGACAGGTAAGAGAATCAATTAGGGCACACTCTTCACCTGTCTTGGCAGAGACCATCTCCTAGGGAAACACAGGCAGTTTCTGTTCTGTTCCAAACCCAGTCCTAATGCCTCACTAAGGTGGGTCTAGAAAATCAGAGCCATCCAAGAGAGCTTGGAGCAGCTAAGCCTAGGCAAAGTTCCTGTCTCACTCAGGTGCTGTATAGCTTGAATCCACTCCCCTCTCACAATGATGAATTTACATTCTCCTGGATCCAGGCAGACAGCCCCTTCTAACACAAGTGGTTGGTCAAACTAGTCCAGAGCCATGTCATTACCCTCAAACCTCATTCATTGAAACTCCAAGCAATAAATTGGACCAGACAGTGTTATGGAGCCCACCTAAGGCACTGCACTAAAAGTGAAAGGTGCGAGGAAACAGGCATAATCATCATCAGTCAACATTTCTTTTCAATCTCCATTTCAAAGAACACTTTGATAGGAACACCCACCCACCAGATATTAACTGTTACTTCACCCCCCCCAACAAAAGACTAGATAAAATTCCACCAAGACCCAGTGAACCCAAACACCCAGTTAGCAATAGCTAAATGGCCAACAAACCTTCTCCCTTCTTTAACTCTAGGCACCAACTAGCTTCTCAGAAATGACTCCATCACTAAATTGCTCCTTAAAAGGTTAATAGGGTAGCCCTCTCCCTCATATTACCCCTTCCACTGACAATGGCACAGCAAAACACACACCCTTGCTTGAAGAAGTCAAGGCTCTTGGCCTTTCTCAGCAAATTCTATCAGCTGTGAGGACTGATGTGAGTCTCATAGCAGGGATGGTGGCAGCTGGTGCTCTCGCCCCCAGCCGGGTTTTTTGTGTGGTAGCAGTGAGGAGCAGAGACCAGATGGCAAAACAGATCTCCTGCTGTCCTACCTGTGGCACTGCTGTTCCAAATTCACCCTTGTATTTTGAAATAAGCTGTGTCTCAAACTAAACTTGGGTGTCAGGCTCCTCAGTGTGATAGCAATTTGCTTCCTGGAAACGGGCCATTTCAAAAGCCATGATAAAATTCATTCATTTGCTGCTACACTACCGTTTCACAAATTGTACACAGCAAAGAGGGCTCCTCCTGTTCTTCCAAAACAGAATACTGTCGGAAAGACCGGTGAAAGAGAGAACTGGGAGGAAGGTTCTCCCAGTTTGCTCTTCTCTTGTCCTTTCCAACTAGGCTTCAGCTGCATTTGCCAGTAATACTTACTACTTCCCAATTCAATACCCTTCAGCTTTCTGCATGATAAGTTGTTGGTCATTCAAATTCTATGCTTTACAAAGACTGTTTTGGTTTTCCCCAATCAGAAACTCATTTTACATAAACCATTACAAAATAGCAATCTTTCAGCACAACCCCAGACCTACAGAGAAAATGAGAGTCCCTGGGGTATGACTAGTTCCACTGGGAAGAATTGGCATGCCGTAAGCTTTTTGAAAATACAATGCTTACCTTTTCCACTGAAAGTGTTGTTTACAAGGTATGCTTCAAGCGTAACGTTGCTGAGAAGGACAGTCACATTTTGCATGCTTATTATGGTGTTGTTGCTGTGACATGTATATGTTGTCCTTAAGTCTGCTCGAATATCGGTGTCTTTGGACACATTTCTTGCTCCAGCTGCAGAAAGCGTGCAATTGTATTAGTGTGTGATGGTCTTCAGACAATTTCTCCATAAATATGGCAACCATCCTATGTACCACCAACCCAGCTACCTTCATCATACTGTACTTTGCAAAGCCTCAAAACACTTACTTTCACTTGAGTTGGGGAAAAGGCTGGCATCTGACAAGTTGTAGGTGAAAGTCAGACTCCTGACAACGTAGGCGCCTGCATTTCTTACAAATGCCATCTTTAATGAGTTATTGTTGCTAAATCCAATTGCAAGAACTTCTGAAGTGTCGTTTGGCTTGCCACATGTGCTTTCTGGCAGTACCACAGCATTAGAAGGAAGTGAAAAGACCTTGACCTAACAGACAAAAACAGTATTGCTGTTATAGTGAGCATCAGAACTGTTGTAAACGTAAAACAATCAAAAGTAAGTAAAATGCTTCAAGGCGCTCAATAACCATAGTAGATTTTTGGGGGTGGGGTGGGAAAACAAAGTCAACCTACGTAAGTTTTAGTGGTGTACCTTTGGGTCAGGATCAAATTGCTGTTTAATTTCTACAATGTAGGATAAGGCTTTAGAGTGAAGTGTGGGAAGGAAGGATCCCATGCCAAGTAAAAATGTGTTTTGCTTGTTTTTTATTTATTAACTGAAGGTTAGGCAGGTGGGGTGTGCGTTGGGGAAAGAATAATCCCTCCCTATGTTTTAGAAAGGATTTGGCACAGAGTAGGTTGGAGCTTACTTACCACATTTCGTTTCTGTCTCTATTCCTAAACTAGGCAGGCATACGTAGCAACAGAAAGTTAGCAAAACAATAGTGACAGAACCAACGGTGTACGGCTTAGAATGCTGGACTAGGACAAGGGAGATTCAGGTTCAAATCCTAACACAGCTATGAAACCAATTTTGTGACATTGTGCCAGTCATTGTCTCTCAGCCTGAATTACTTTACAGGGGTATTACAAGAATAAAATGGGGCTTTAGCTTCTTGGAGGGAAGGCAGGATAAAAATTGTACAATTTAGCCAAATCTCCTTTCCTGCAATTTCTATCCATTAGCTCCAGTTCTGACCTCTGTCAGCTCCATTTTCTCCATGCTATTTTTGAAAACTGCTATTGTGCCCACACCCCATCTTCTCGTCTCAGGCTAAACACGCCCAGCTTTTTCAACCATTCCTCATAGAATTTGGTTTCCAGACTTCTCTGCACTTGGGTCATTCTTCTCGAGGCACACTCTCCTCTTTCAATGTCTTCTTTAAAATGTGATGCCCATAACAGTACACAGCTGTAGCCTGACTAGTGCAGAATGGAGTGGAACTATTACTTCTCATGGTATGACTCTGGACACAATGCTGCTACCAATGCAGCCTATACTTTCATTGGCTTTTTTTAGTAGCTGCACTGGTGGCTCGAGTTTAATTTGTGACCAACAAACCTTAAGTTACTAAAGAGACCTACTTTTCACATGTATTGCTTCAAAGCAGGTCTCCCCTATTCCTACACTTGTGGCCTTGATTTTGTAAACATTGAACTTTACAATTTCTCACTGTTCAACTTTATCTTGCTGGTTTGGGTACCATGTTTTAGCCAGTGATAATCACTTTGAATCTTGATTCTGTCTTCTTCCAAGCTTCCTGTCATCTACAAATTTGATAAGCATATCCCCTACACCCTCATCCAAGGGATTTATAAAGATGTTAAAAGGCACAGGGCCTCAGACAGATCCTGTACAGTACTTCACTTAGGACCTTCCTCTTGGTCAGGGTTTCCCAAATTTGGGTCTCCAGCTGTTTTGGACTCGATACTCATCATCCCTGACCACTAGCTAGGAATGATGAGAGCTGTAGTCCAAAAACAGCTGAAGACCTGTCTGGAGACCTGTCTGGGAAACTCTGCTCAAGGTTGATGCAGAGACCATTAATGAGCACATGGTGGATACGGTTGTTTGAGCAGCTAAAAAAGTGAAGTAAGCATTGTGTGCCTTATAAACAGGGCGATTTTTAATCCTATATTTGCTTTGAGGCATTATTACTGATCCCAAGGAATTGGGTTAGGACATAATTTTATGTATAACTAAATTTTATCCTCATCTCCCACCAGTAAATGATATTACAGACTTGTTTTCCATCAAGCTCTGCCTTCAGTTGACCACAAACACTTCAGCAAAGTACTAGGTTTAACTGCAGCTCCCAATCAAATATAGAAATCCAAAATTTCTTCAAACAGACTCAACCTTGAGTGCAAATTAAGCAGCTTCAGCTCTGAAAACAGCATCTTGCTGCCTTTAGCCACACAACACAGCGCCTTAAAAGTTATGTCTCTGTAAGCAGCTTTCTGGCCCACCACTCATTTAAGCTTCAGCATCCTCACCTCTTTACTGGTTTTTGTGTTGTATTCCACTGTAAATAGCACAGAAAAATTGGCTAATATGCAGGTTTTGTTTTTCCCATCTCTTACTTCAAACGCTGAAGATGCTTGTAAAAATCCTGCAAACAGAAAGCAATAAATATCAAGAAGTGCAATGCCGATAGACAGCTTTGAAGAATATATGCAACATCCATATGTAACGATGGGCTTCACAGGGACAGATGACTTTTGTGGAAGGAGAATATGATTGCTTTTAGAAAGCCTGCACTTACTCAGTACAGGCACCTCCCCACTCGCACACAATTGATTTTGGCGTCAAAGGATGTGGGGTAGAAGGGACCCCAATGCAGCCAACAAGAACAGAACCCCCGCATAAGCGAGGATTCCCCTGTAGCAATTCTTGCTCGCAACACATTTTATTGTGAAGATAATCTAAGCCATTATTATTAAACACACAATATTTAAGAACCTATTATGTATTAGTGTGTTCCTACATTCATACAAAGCATGTTCCAAAGGGATGAAAAACTCTTAAGCAACCATGAGAATGATGTAAGGAAAGTTAATTTATGCCAACCAGAATCACAACCTTTGTTTGCAAAATGGTTCATTGTATCTCCACTGGCTTTATTTGTATCTAGTCCTCTTGATAACACACTGATAAAGAGCCCTGTTACAAAACTACCAAACATTCTTGTTAAATTTGTCATGTGAGAAACACAAGCTAACAAGTTTTATCTACATGCTAAAGAATCATTTTCATTTGAAAATATACAAAAGTAGAAAACTCACCACATCTCCATTTTTTATACTTTTAATTGTTTATATGAATGGGTAGTATATATTTTCATAAATACAATACCAATGCTCAAGTGTACAAGACAGCTTTTTAGTAACTGAGCCACGGCTTACATTAAGACTGTACGGCACACACAAAAATACTATATAAATAATCACTCCCATTTTACTGAAAATTAAAGGAATGTAGAAATCCCCACCCCACAAGGGTGTTCGAGTATATTCTACCTCTGGCAGGGATCAGTATTTTTAAAATGTGAACAGGCAATATTAAGTTGACCTCAGCTATCATATGTCTTCATTAATAAGGTTCTAGTTGCTACAGTACAGGCTGTTGCCAAAGGCAACTACAGATTACCACCTGCAGGAGCTAATGATTTACTCAAATTGCACCAACCTATGAAGATCTGCACAAAGGACAATTTTTTAAACCTCCACCTTTTTAAAACTGTGCAACTATAACACGTGTGTGTGGAAGTCTCAACAGGACCCCACCCCCTAATTTAAGCTAGAATCTTATATGCTTCCCCTCTAGATTTACACGAGTACATTGTTAGGCTTTTTCTACAACAGTGACATGTTTTGTCAGAGGGGAGAACAGGAAAGGGTTTGGGAGGAGCTAGGCCAGGGGGTGGGGAACTGGATAGCCAAAACTAAACAACTGTCTGTGAAGTGAATGAATACAGGTCTGCCCAGCAATATGCAAGCGGGTTGGACTAGATGACCCTCAGGATCCCTTCCAACTCTACAATTGCATGATTCAGGCTAAGATACCATTCAGTCAACTGTTCAACAGGCACAGAGTCTGGTATACCAAGCTTCTCGTCCTCTCTTCAAAGGCCAGCCAACCAGCATGTCTTAACTTTTCTCCAGTGGATTTGACTTGAGAACAAACATCATGTACTGTGAATTTAAGACTGGCTGTATGTTGCTGAAACTTTCCATTGCCTATGATTGAATTGTGCTTCTCTGTCCTCTCTTCCACGACAATGTGCTAGCTGTGAGACTACTGAAAAGTTAAGCAGCACGTGAATTTGTTTTCAATTGCTATAGAGCCAAACCATTAATAGGTAAAATATGTTTAATTGTCCGACAGCCTTAATTCTATTGAAATAATACTTTCCCCCAGTGCTTCCCCCTTCCTTCCAAACTGTAGCGACTTTCTTCCCTCTCCAAAAACACAAACAACTGTCTTGGAATACCAAGTAGTGACCTGCCAATGAAGCAGCATTGTTGGAAGACACAAAAATTGAGCAAGTTTCACAGCCTGATTATACCCCATCATTTTGTTGATTTTGTCATTTTTGAACATGCTGGAGTGGCAGCAATTCAAGCCCATTATGAAAGTGCATTCATACAAGTTTTTTCTCACAGGAACTGCTTAATGCAGAGAGAAGGGCAAAGTCCACTGCAATGTTTTCCTCTTCTACTTAAAAATGCAGGAAGGCTGTAAGCTGTTTGTACTTCTGGATGACAAGTTTTACTGCAGTAGAATTGTGTTCCATTTGTTGTCAGAGGTCTCCTAACATTTAATTGGGAGTATATACCATGGAGGGATTCCTCTAAAATGGAAGAAAACTGCTACAGAAGTCTGCATTGCAAACACACTGCTACATCTTTGAATTGTTTGAATTGTATGGCAGACTCAGAAAGAAACAAATGAGCTACACTTCCAAAACAGCATCCAACGAATAGAACATATTCTCCACAAGAGACTAGTCTAGCTTATCCAGCTTTGAGAACAGGTGTTTCAAGCAGTTTTAAATCACTTAGTGCACAATCCAAACTCCTGATGTGCCAAACAGTTTCACCAGCCTCTGTGGGATGGGAAGGGGCTGAGCTGGCCTAAGATCCAGGCCCCATCCCTACAATAGCTCCAGAAGCAGAATTTTGCCTACCCTGCACCCTGGCAATGAGAGCAGTAGAGCTGCAGACGTTGTGGAAGCTCCGCTGCTCTATGTGTTTCTGCTGCCCAACCAGGGTTCGGATTGCTCTGCCAGTGTATTTTCAATGCCAGGTTTCTTTAAAGACTTGTCATCCAATATTCATACCCTATGCAAATAATATTTTAACCAAAATGCTTGCTTGGTTTTTTTAAAGATATGCACCAGAACCAAGAAACACAAAGGCCTTTTTAAAATAGATAGATCCTTTTAATTGGCCAATTCTCACAGGTTTGAAACTATCAGCATTATGCAACACAGAGCTGGAACTGCTTATTAGGAAAAGGATAGCTGCTTTACAATATGCAAGCTAAAAAGATGAATATATAAATCAAAAGAAGACACACCTGCCTTACTCACTCAACACCATATTAATAGGATGCAAGCGGCATTTTAAATACAGTGTGTGGACAAATGAAATTTTTAACTTGTGGGATCCATGGAAAGTTTCTTTGTATTTGCGAGCGCATTTAAGATCTGCAGGCAGGCAGCAAACTAGGGCACTAGTCTGGCTGTAGCCCCACCCGTGCATTTCACAATACTGTACTGCACTATGGGAGAATGGCTGTTCCAACCCTTTATGCAGTGGATAAGAGCAGAGACAGGAAGACTCCAGGGCAGCCTGAATCACTCTTTACTCTATGATAAGTGTGCCATGCTCAGAATAGTAGAATGGTAGCTACATGTTTCATGCAATGAGAATCTGAACCATGAAGATACCTAGTCAACTTGAGTGAAGAGCAGCTATGTGGGAAAGCAGTTCATATTAAGAATGTGCACCACATCTTAACTTAAGGGTAAGGCTAGGTTAAGTTTCAGTGGATCATTTAATAGTAAATCTTGGAACCAAAAAGTTCATGGTTATGCAAGACATTACAGCTTCCTGCTAAATTGTTGTCCCGGCCCAGATTTCATGCTGCATCAGCTCTTCCTGAGTAAGCAATTCTATGCTACGGATAAACATAAAACACAAGTTTTAGTGGAAAGTCATTTGTAAGCTTCATGTTTTGGATTATACGTATGTGAAATGAGCTGGTACAAAGAGATGTTTCTAGTGTTTATGCACCAATGTAGGTTGCTTCCTTGTGACTATGGGGCAACTGCAGATAAACCTATGGAATGAATATTACCCTTCCAATAAAACAGCCATTTTAAAAAAGAACTCCCCCACTGCTTTTCATCTGATAAAGGCACCTCCATCATGAGCCCTTTTAAGTTAGTGCCTTTTAGCAAGAGATTAGATGACACCAATTTGTCAGCAACTCTGTAATATATGCAAGGACTTTGGGCCAACACTGCACTAGGAAGATCCTAACTTGCATATCAAGAGTTTGGCAGCACTGCAGTGTTCAGACTTGACACACTTTTCTAAAAACACTATCTGTGCAATTTTCAAAAGCTGAATTGGTGGCCATTAATTTAAAGCAAGAAATACCTGTTATGTTTTCCAAATACAGCTTCTTAACACCTAAACTGGACAAGTCCACTGCAGAAGGGAGTTAAAACCCTCTGACAATTATCTACATATCCAGAGCCCTCAGCCTCATTTAGGGCACTGGAAGGATTATCATTCCTTTTACAGCCCTTGTTTATCTTCTTTGTTTGCTCCTAGTAAATCAACTAGAGTTTGGCAGTTCTGGAGAGATATCTACCAGGCCTTGCAGTTAGCTGAATTATTGTGCACATGCACAAGGATTCTGTACCATGCAAATCCATTCAAACTGCCCAAAGTTTCAAATTGTTATAGAAACCTCATCTCATGCCATAAAGCTGATTCTAGTTCATTCAACTGTAGTTGACAGCTGATCTGGAAAGTTTAAGAAAGCCAGCCATTTTCTTGTAGGCAAAGATGTACTAAGTTTATAGTTGCTTATGGAAATTTATTCCAAAATCCTGAAGAAATCAAGTTCAAGAGAAACCACCAGTCCAAGTTACAGCTCCCACACAATTAGATATCAGTTAACAAGTTTAATATTATATTTCACTGAGCACCCATAAGTCTTTTGAAGACATGGGCATGAATGAGAGTTCAAGAGAAGACAGCAATTGACCAAAGAGTACTAAATCATCCAAATACTGTTGGTAGGCAGTATAAGAACATGCTCTCCTGTCCTTTTAGAACCTTTGTTTTGGTGCAGAGCAGGAAACTGCAAAGTGAAACTTGAGGGAGCATCATATAAGCAAACTAAAGTTGAATTTCAGGAAAAAGCAGGTATCACACCCAGAATAAAATCCACTGATGATCAAATCCATGAATGTATCTTTAAAGAATCCAAGTTCAAAACCATTAAAAACACACACCAAGTACACATAATTAGTTTAAGTAAAATTAGTATTCATTATTTTGCAGTAAAAGGGGAGACTAGTCTCATTAGTCCCAGGTTTGTCTCTGGTTTTCCTAATCTTTGTGTTTTAATGCCTTTAAAACATTGTAAATAAACCACTCTTGTAGCTTTTTACTTCTAACATGCCTCTGCTTTTTTACAATAGGCCCAAATACTTCAGCCTATAATGACAAGGCTAACTTTAATGACAAAGGCGAGAAAATGAATCTTGGGGGGAAACACTTCAGGATATACATAGCCACCATCTACTTGAGTTAGGATGGAATAAGGCAGACCAGTGATTGCAGACTAATAATCACATACAAATCCATACTGTATCAAGTCAAAGGAGCACAGAAGGACACAAATTCATGAGTCATACTTGTTCTTCTAAATTCTATACTCTGGCCTACATTACTGGGATGCCCAGGTTTTCTCATTGACCTCATGCTATAGTGAGAAAGATTGTATGATTTACAGCCTAATCCTATGAATATTTACTTGGGGGATAAAGTCCCACTGAGTGCAAGAGAACCTGTAGAAATCTCTGCAAGATAACAGCTTCATATCACCAGTGTTATACAGCCAGTGATAAAGGTACTGAATCTAGACAATGCCACTTGGGAGAAAAAAACCAGCAGAAGACAACTACTATCAGGGGAGAAGAATTTCACCTTCAGCTGGGTCACCTATTACATTCTAAGTTCCTTCACATTTGCTCCATCTAGTTTCCACAAAACACAAGTTTGGGAAGATGGGGAATGCCTTGCAAAACAGCAGGGATGCAGAACCTCTTTTAGATGGGAGGACACATTCCCTTCTGAGAAGCCTTCCTAAACCACATGCCAATTATGGGTGGGGCCAGAGGTAAAAGTGGGCAGAACAACAAATGTAAATTTCACCTTTGTGCAGCAGGTTGGTTTGTTCACTCTCACTCTCAAACAAGCCTTCCTATCCTCCATCCAGAGAAACAAGACGACTTATCAGAGTTTAGCCAAATATTCACAAGAAGGCTACAGCAGTGCAGTGAGGGTCAGCCAGAGTGGCCTCAAGGGAGCACTGCCAGTTTTGTTGGTACAATCAAGCGGAGAAGAAACTCTCAGTGCTCTCTGCACCAATATGCCAACAGTGAAAGTTATCTATTTCAAATTAGCAGCATGCGAGGCCTCAAGCGCAAGAAGGCAAACAAGTTCTCTTGCTCACACCTGTCTTGCTAGAAGAGGGCGCTTCCGCCAAAAAAAAAAAAAAGTTGTTTGCAGAGCTACTGGGGTAAAACAGAACATAGGGACACAGGATTTGAGCAGCCTTCAAAACACAGTTGCCTTGGAAGGAGAACAATAAAGTGGCAGTATGTTTCTTAAGATATGCAGCTGCAGCCAAAAGGAATTAGGCGTCAAGGTTTAAGGTTACAAAGCCTTCCACACCCTGGGTGTGCAAGCTAGGCAAAGGTTGGAGTAAAGCTACAGCAGCAACTAGTCACCGTCTCACAATACAGTGACCTGGAGGAAAAGTAGGTGGTCAGTTCTGAAGATTAATAATAATAATAATAATAATTTTATTATTTATACCCCACCCATCTGGCTGGGTTTCCCTAGCTGGGCGGCTTCCAGCACATAAGGGGAGAAGGATGGGGGACGACGACATGGGTTTCGGTATACAGCCAAATCACACCTGCCTAACTGAGGAGGAGAGGCAGCTCCTTTAAACGTTGAATTCCGCGTTAGCGGTTGAACTGCATTAAAGTAAACCGTGTCCTGCGCCACCGTTTCCCACGGCGGAAAACAGTCCTCTTGCTTCTCCCTAACGCGGAGAGGCTGCTCTGGCCTCAGGGCCGCGTGGGAGGCCCGCCTGCCCTTTGGCGCAGACACCTGGCCCGCTAACTTCCCAGGTGCCGGGGGAAGGAAGCGGCGACCCGGGCTCGGCTCCAGGGTGAGGCGCGGTGCCAGCCCAGCACCACACGGGAGGAGGCCGCCGCCGCCGCCGCCTTTTTACTCGCCGCGGGGCTTCCACGCACAGGGCCTCGAGCGGAGGGCAAGAGGCGGCGGCAGGCAGGGCGCTCCTTCCCTTCTCAGGGAAGCGACGGAGACCCGCGAGAGACGAGGCCGGGGAGAGGCCTACGAAAAGAAGCCGCCGCCGCGGATACTCACCCAGCAGGGCCGCCGCCAGGAGCAACCCCCAGCTGTACCGAGACGCCATGACAGGAGCGGGCCGAGACGGGAGACAGAGAGAAGAACGCGAAGCTGAGCGGGGAGCGCAGACTGAGGAACGTCGGCGTCGGCAGCACCGAATAACGCCGAGAGGCGCGGTCACGTGATCGACGTAGTCGCCGCCGTCGGCCCACCCCGCCTCTCCCACCGCTTTTTTTTTTTTTTACCTCCGTCACCTGATCTTAATAAACCACGCCCGGCCTCTTTAATAAAGAGTGGGGAGGGGGCAGAGAGAGAGAAGACGGGCAGAACCAGAGCCGTGATCTCGCGAGAACGGAGAGAAGCAGGCCATAGGCTGAGGCCGCTGAGGGGCTTTCCCCCCCCTTTTTCTTTAACTGTAGCTTTTTAAACCGATTTCGGTTCGTTCTCACGTCACGGGGCTGAACAGCTAAAAGCGAAACACAGTGATTCCTCGGGTTACAGGTGCTTCAGGCTACAGACTCCGCTAACCCAGAAATAGTACCTCAGGTTAAGAACTTTGGTTCAGGATAAGAACAGAAATCGTGCTGCGGCAGCAGCAGGAGGCCCCATTAGCTAAAGTGGTGCTTCAGGTTAAGAACAGTTTCAGGTTAAGAACGGACCTCCAGAACGAAATTAAGTTCTTAACCCGAGGTACCACTGTATAGGGGAAGCTCGAATCAACTTGTGGCGATTATAATCGCTATTAGGCCCGCAGCCCATCCTGGCTGGGAATTTGTTGCGGGGAAAACGACGCTCTTCCCGTGCGTTGTCCGAGGAGGTCGGCTGGGGGCAGGAGTTTCGTTTCCTTTGGGAGGCTGCTCCGGGGTCAGTGCCAAGGAAATGACTCCGATGTTACATGAGCTCTCGCGATAGAGTCACGTTTTTTAAAAGAAATTTTATTATTGTGTGGGCGGAGAGGGAAAACAAATTATTTCCGAAACATAAATCCTCTACTGGAAGGTTCTCAGGAAAAGCAAGAGAGCACCTAACAAATGGGGCTTGTCGGTTGTACTGTAGCCACAAACGCGACTTGATAGGCATTTCAACTACAGACATTTTAGGGCGAGGGGCAGGGAAAGTCACATAATAACATGCCAGTGAGACAGCAGAAACCTAAACACAAGCTGCGTAAGTTTGAAGTTGCTTTACGTTGAGCTGAAAGAAGTTTTAAGACCTGGCTTCTGAAGCCACCTGCAGCAAATGGAGGTGACAACCTACCAATGCCACTAAACCTCACTAAAATGGCTACTGCTGTCACTGGTCATTACTGCCTTTAAAAAGAAAAAGGACGCTAACAAAAAAGAGGTCAAGAGAGGGACTGTAACGGAAGAGGGTAGATATGAAAATGAGCTTGGCATCAGTGATTGCAAACAAGAGGCAGTCTTTCGAGTTCCCCCTCTCCCATCCCTTGATTGACTATTGGAGTCGAATATTTCCCTTTATCTCTCTACAAATGCATCTCTAATATAGTTGTCTCCCAACATCCAAATGACCAGGCACAGAACACTGGAAAGCTGTAAACTGAACCATTTTCAGGCCATCAGTATAGGCAGATGTGCAAGCAAAAACTAGTACTAACTTGGAGAATTACTATGTTTATTTAAAATTGTAGTGTTGACAATAATAATTTATAAAATGCATGTTATTAACTTTTTTATTTTTATTTTTCTCTTTTATACTTTTTCAAGCAATGGATAGTTTTGACTAGTAAACTGAAGTAGGATCCTGGTTACTGATATATGTTGTTTTGGTTTATTATTTTGTTTTCAAGTCTAAATAATAATGTAGCTATATTTATTGTAGAGATATTGCCCATAACTTTGTTAACAGCCTTCTGTGCAAGCATCCAAACTGAACAAGTGTTGCAGGAAATAAAGCAGTACTGGAGACAAGAAAAGAAAAATGAGGATGTACTTTGTAAAAATACTGAAACATTGAACTAATCCTTTGTATGAATCGTCTTGAAGGTCCTGTCTTTTAGAAAGAGGCATACTCCTCATAGCATTAAAAAGGTAGCAACACAATTTTACTAATATTGGATAGACAATACTACATGATATTGCAAATAGGAAAGAGATTGTCACATTCATACAGTGGAAAAGCAGTTACTATGCACGAGATCTGCTTTAAGTAAAAATCAGATTTTAAAGTTTCTATTTGCTTAAGATTATTTTTTTTTGAAACAGGAAAATGGGAAGGAAAATACAATGAATGTTGGATTCATCACTAACTCATAGTAATGCAGATGAGAAAAGGATTTTAATTTGCAGAAGTCAAAATAATACAAGGGAGTTTATATAATAAACCAAGTTACTAATTTTATGCAAAGCATTTTAATAAAGATACTACTAACATTAATGACACAAAAGGTCAAACTCCCTTTGGTTTCTTTTAAACATACATCATTATGCGTATCCTGTAAAGCCAGCAGTTACAACTGTCTCTTAACATAGCTTTCTTTCTTCAAAGTTCGGTGAATTTCCATGTAAATGATATGAAACAAGCTACTTCATCTGTCAAGGTAAAACTATGAGAACAATCAAATCTTCCTGCGTGCAGAAAGTCCAGAGAAACTTTGCAAATGAATGCACAGTATGGGATACAAGGGAGGAAAGCTACCACAATAGGAATATTTCCTCATGTTTTCTCATGTTTCAGCAAGTATAATCCGAAGAGGAGCTGGATTGTTTTCGTTACAGGGCAAAAAAGCCTTAAAAAAATATTTTGAAATTTTCTAAGATCATGCCACTGTAATTACCCTGTGTGTAACTTTTAGAATAAAACTATATTATCCTGTAGTTTCATTATTTTTTTTACATGAAAGGTTATAAACAATTATCCCAGAGCTAGAAAGTGCTTATTTGGTTCACCTTCATGGGGCCAAGAAGGAAATATATTTCACCAATGAATATCTGAGCTCATTAGAAAGCTCATCTATTGTTTTTAATGCAGTTATCCTCTTGGCACTTGATCCATCTAAACAGGGATAAGGTATAGAAAACAAAAAACAAAACAAAAATCTAACAGAACAAACTAGAATTCTTGGTGCATAGTTAAAACTTCAGTGTACCCCGAGACCACTGATTGTTCTTCAACAGTGTTTAAAAGAAACTCAAATAATTCTTGAAGCGAAAAATGGCAGCGTAAAGTATTTTTATGATGTGCTGTCAAACACACACAACCACTCTTCAGGCAAAAGAATTATATCATACAGAGGACAATTACCATTCACTCCAACTCCAAAATAAATTTTGAACAGAATTCTTAAAGAAATCAAGAAGCAGATCTAAAAATAATTGTCTCTGAATACCACCACAGATTCTAGGCAAGGATGTTTCAAGTATCAGCAGTACATGCAGCTGCTTAATGAACATCATTCCCAGTTCTGCTAAAAGTAAGGTTTGGGAACAACACAAGTATCCATTGTTGGGAAGCTAATGTCCTCCTGTTTTATAAAAACAGTTTCCTCCTCATCATGCAACATAGTGGTACTGATTAGGGTTATCTTTGTCTCTCTCCATATAGTCTCTGTCTATGAGAGATTCAATCCGCTTTTTCAAGTCTCCAGGCTGTAATAAGAGAATAAGTTGACACTGTTTAGCAATGTAAGGACAAAGGAAATAAAATACTAGAGAGAGAGAGACAGACAGACAGATGGAGACAACACTCTAAAAACGATAATGTATTCTGTGATCACAGTAATTTTACCATAATTGTGCTCCCAATTTCGCCTCTCCCTTACTGCATTATACATTATTAATATTTCACTCACCTTTACTGGAAATTTTAGCTGATTATATAACTCTGAAACAAGAAGATTGTGACTGAGTGTCTTCCTCATCTTCATTATTCGTACTATAGCTGCATCAATCTGATACTGTCTATCTTGAAACACCCTTTCAGTTGTGCTGACTTGCTCTTCGACCTGTACGGCAAGTATGAAAAATATGTATCAATTACCCTGACACACAAACACACACATGCGCATACATACATGCATATTATTTGGTTAATTCTAATTAATTGATAGTATGGAGAGAGGATCTATACCAAAAGAATTGGTATTGATGCTATGGCATGGCCAGCTTTGGGGGATTAGGCAGGAGTGAAACAAAAGTCAACTAATGGTTGCATCATGTAAATTTGCCTCTCAGAAAGGAAAGGCAGCACAGGGTATGACTGAAATAAAGGTCAGATAAATATTTACAAATTATCTACAAATTTAACTGGCTGAATCCATAACCATGTCAAATGTTTAGTTTTCACCCCTCAAAACAACCCCCCTCTCTGAGTCTAACACTAAAACACTTGGTTGAGCACAAAAGCACTTCTATTCAGGGCTGAGAATACAGCACATTTTTCATACATGTCCTAACCTCTCTTGGTTAAACCCAAACACCACCGCACTATAAACCAACTATTCCAAAGAGCTGTCAGCATCGAATACATACCGTTTCTTTCATCTGGATTTGGTTGATCTTTATTCTGAACAATTTATGCTTAAAATCACCATTAAAGGCAAATTTGTCTCCATCTTCTACATCCTTTCCTCTTGGACTTTTATTCAGTACTCTTGCTTTACCACAGGCCAGAGACTGCAAGGTTCTTTTTAATTCGCTGTCCTCTGTGAAAGGGGTTTAAAATGCAAACACACAGTGGAAAACTGTTTACAATTGCTGTATCAATTGCCATAAAGCACAGACTGAAGAGGAAATGAGCTGGAAAAGTGTTGAGATAGGGGCAGGTGGAGATTGCTCTAGTTCAGTCCTGAAAATTTACACGTATCTACTTGTTTAGGGGAGTTAATATCCTAGGAGATCAGGATATCAAACAGGATATTACAAACTGCTTTTGTCCCCCTCCCTTCTGCTATAGTGCAGAAGACTGTGAAATATAAGCCTGCCATATACAAGTACAGTAGCACCTTGGCATATGTTACCCTCGGGTAACGTAAACTTCGGGTAGCGAAAGCAGCAAACCCGGAAGTGTTTCACCCTGCGCACATGAGCAGAAGTGCTCTACTGCACCGCAAGCATGCACAGAAGCAGTCTGCTGCCGCATGTGCAGAAGCAGTCCCTCCAGTTGCAGAAACCCCGGGATCTGACTGGAGCTCCGAAACGGTTCCCGTCTGCAGCCGGAGGTACCACTGTACAACTACCATAGTAGTTTGCTTGGGGAAACACAGGAGTACT